CTTTTCATGTGCTAATACCTTCTTGGAGAAATGTCCATTGAAGTCCTATCCTCATTTTTAAACCCACTTATTTATTAGTTAGTGTGAATTGTAGTTCTTTTATGTATTCTGGATTTTAAATTCTTATGAGATACTCGATTTTCACCCATTCTGTAAGTTGCCTTCTCTGTTTCTCCGTGTGTGTGTGTGTGTGTGTGTGTGTGTGTGTGTGTGTGTGTGTGTGTAGTGCAGTACTGCTGGGGTCAAACCCAGAGCCTTCTGCATGCTGGGCAAGTACTTCTCTATGCCTGAGATGCTGAGTTGCAGCCTCAGCATTTTTCATTCTGTTAGTTGTGCCCTTCAATGCATATTTTACATTTAGATATAGTCCAATTTATATATAATCTTTTTGCCATATTCAGGAAATCATTCCCAAATCCAATGTTATAAAGCTTTTCTCCCATACTTTCTTGTAAAAGTTGTACCATTTTAGCTCTTATTTCAGGTCTTTGATCCATTTTTGACTTAATTTTTTTTATATGTGTCTTAAGGTAATGTGTATATTCCCAGCACTTTTTGTTGAAATAACTGTTCTCCCAGTGAATGATCTTGACACTATATAAACAAGGGTTATATGTGAACCCTTTGCCAAGCTTGCTGTTAACTGACTCACCTGTTTTCAGTTGTCCTTGGAGTCCACAGTTTACCATCATCATTTTCTGCAGAGAGCAGATCTTCAGTCTTCTAGTTGTCTAGAGCAGTTTAGAGGCTGCTCAGGATGATAGCATCCGGGAAATCTTACCTCCATTTGTTTGTTTATGACAGGGTCTTCCTTGTAGCTCAAGCTGGTCTCAAGTTCGAGATCCTGCTTTAGCCTTTCAAACTGGGATTATAGGTTATAGGTATGTGTGATACCAACACCAGCTGAAATTGTTTTTTTTTTGTTTTGTTCTGGATTTTGCCGTAGTTGTTTGATTTGGTTGGTGGTGGTGGGTGTTGTTTTGAGGTGTTGGAGTTTAAACTCAGGGCCTCATGCTTGCTAGGCAATCACTTGATCACTTAAGCCAAGCTGCCATCCCTATTCCAGTTTTTTGAAGGAGGGTCTCCCTGTGTAGTCCAGACTGGCCTTGAACTCACAATCCTCCTACCTCAGCCTCCCTCGTGTTGGAATTGACTTAAAAATCTTTGTCTGCTTCACAGCATCTCCTTTGCACATATGCATGTGTGTGGGTATACTTTGTAGGGTGAGATTTCTTTTACTTCCTGTTCCAGTGGAGTTTGGTTTCTAATAGTACTGAGTCTTGTCTGCTAACATTTTCTCCTAGTGGATTGATCCCTTAAATGTTTTGTTTTGGGCTGTATCTCAAAAATCATTACCTAGTAGGGAGTCACATGCTATCTGGTTGAAGCTGTTATCTCCCAGTGGTTCTGTAGGTTGTATAATTGAAACCCTTGACCCAAGTGAAAGGTGCCCATGCCTTTACAGATCTCCTTACATGTGTTTACCCCCTCTGGACCTAGGGTCCGGACCAAAGCAGATAAGCTTCCTGTTAGGTGCATGCCCCCCACTCCAAGTCTATTCCTTTGGTGGAGAAAGGGGAGCAGTTTCTCCCAAATTTGGCAGAAACTGCCAAGCCACCCATCCCTGAGGCACCATTTAACTAAAACTCTTGACCCAGAAGGATTGTGAGTTCAGGCCAGCCTGGGCTACATAGTGAGACATTGTCTCAAAAAAGCCTTCATCCCCAGGATATCCTCATTTTCAATTATTTATTTGGTTTTTATTTCTGAGTGGGAAATAAGTCACTTTAGGGCCAGAAGTGTGGCTCAAGTGGTAGAGTACTTGTCTGGCAAGTGCAAGGCCCTGTGTTCAAATTCCAGTACCACAGAAGGAAGGCAGGGAGGGAGGGAGGGAAGCTACTTTAATAATGCATCAAAGTGTGGGATTTTGTTTGGTTGTTTTTTGAGACAAGTTTTCACTGTGTAGCCTAGGCTGGTCACAAACAAGATCCTCCTGCCTCAACCTCCCAGGTGCTGAGATTACAGGTGTGCACTATCACACCTTCCTTGCATCACCACCAGGTTTTGATTTTTCTTATTTTTATATGGACTTTTTTTTTTTGTGGGACTGAGATTTGAACTGAGGACTTGGAGCTTGCAAGGCAGGCACCCTACTGCTTTAACCACACCTCCAGTCCATTTTGCTTTGATTATTTTGGTGATGGGGTCTTGAGAGCTATTTCCTTGGGGTGGCCTTGAACTGTAGTCCTCCTAATCTCAGCCTCCTGAGTAGCTAGCATTACAGTCATGAGCCACCAGTGCCCAGTTTACTTTAAAAAACAAAAACAAAAGACCCCACAATGCTTAGGTTTCAGGCATTCTTTTAAGAGCACTACAAATATTTAAGTTGTGTAATTCTTTTATCCTGGTGTACTGGTACTACTGTCCTCTTTTTCGCAGGTGGCAAAACTTAAGAACATAGAGGTTAAGTTTCTTGTCCAAGGTCACATACCTAGTAAATGCACCCTAAAGGGTGTCAGCTTCCAGTTTGTGTGTGTATGTTTCACTGCCTTGCTTCTTCAAGGTTATTTTTCCTCTTTTTTTTTATTTATCATAAATTACTTGTGCAGAAAGGTCTCATGGTATTTCCATACATACATATAATGGATTTGGATTAAAATTCAAGGGTATTTTTCCTTTCAACTAAAGACAGGTAGATTAAGAGCAGCTGAAAATACTCAAGTTTAAACATTCCCAACCCCACTTACTCATTATTTCTTACCTCCACGCTCTTTGTTCTTATGGAACTCTTATTCAAGAATGATATGTACTCTGTCAGTTTTGGGTCAATGTAGAGAATGAAGATATTAAACAAAAACTGGAATTCCTACCACCATACTCTATCTTACGTCTGAATTCAAAGATCACAGCATGGACCAAAGTATTCCATTTGTAACTCTAGAACTTTGCCCCTAACAGACATGTATAACATAAAGCAAAGGCAGGGATTGATTTATGGTAGTTGACTGACTACTATGGTCTGTTGTCAGAGGTTTTACATAATACGGCCATGCTGCATAGAATGAATTAAGGTTATTTTGTTCCTTTATAAATGATAGATTGCTATACAGAGGAGGAGGAGGGACAGGAAAGTCTTCCTGATAGCTTACCATTAATTTGTGAAAAAGCATTTTGTGCAAGATGAAAATCTGGAATTGATTTTCATTAGAAACTTGGGATTGTGCTTTAGAAAGTCTGAATTACACATACTGCATATTTCATGAGTGTGTGCCCTATTACCTGATATATTCCACAGAATGTCCAAATTGCCTGTGCTCCACCTTGGTGACCAATCTTCTATAGGCTGTTATTTCTCACATTTGTAGTACTTCAAGCTAATGAATGGTAAGTGAAGGCTTGGGAAATGACCTAAAAGCAGGTGTAAACAGAAGAAAAGTAGTAGCTGGGCACTGAATGTTGGCTTGATGGATAATCTAATTGTTTCTGCAGCTCTTCTCACTACATATTTAACATAATGACTCCCTTCTTTTTTTCTTTAAATATAAGAGAATCTGTTCATAAGGAACACCAAATAGTACAGCAGTTCTGCGTATTGAAATTTTCAAGCCTTGGCTTTTTAAAACCATGTGTATATTTTTATATATTTTACAGTACTGGAGTTTGAACTCAGGGCCTTGTACTTGCCAGGGCAGCACTCTACCACTCTCCACCCCATTTTTATACATTTGATGTCTGTATCACTCAGGAAATAATGGTGTTCCCTAGAGCATGAGGTTGATTGGCAGGCATATTATTTTCCCGTACTCTATTATTGCGAAAAAAATCAGATTTAAAAGCCTTGGAAATCAGGGTGGTTTGTTGCATTGGAACTAATACTTGATATTGTTTGTTTATAGATGAATACAATTCCCTTGCCACAAGTTTGACTATAATCAACTTAGAGTAAATAATGTAACCGAATATTATAATAATTATTTTAAATAAAATAAGTCAAATATTGACTATTGAGACACCTGCAGAAAAGCCTGTGGCTCTAGCAAAGCTAATAAGTTTGTTAGATCTAATACAGGAAGAAGAAAACATCCCCTTGGCAAAGATGTGTCCTAAAAGTAGGAAGATTAGGAAATGATGTTTGTAGAATGTTAGGGGTTTCGCTGGGTTATTTTAAGATGGGTGTTACAAGACAGGTAACTGTTGGCAATTGGACAGTTTATGACATTGGGGACACAAGGAGGCAAGGGTCTTGAAACAAGTCTTGAAGTGTGAGCTATTTTGTTAGTTCCTGGCCTTAACTTCTAGGAATCGTCTGGGTTGTATCATCCAGATATCCTGGAGCAAGCAGCTCCATTATATTTCTGTAGTCTCAGAGTAGTTTTTTTTTTTTTTGAGAGTAAGTTTTATTAGTTACTTTTGCAGAAATAAATTCAGTAAATATAGCTACAGGAACAAACTCGGGTTGTTATATATAAGCCTTTGAAATTTTAAAGTCATCTTCAATGATGTTGGTCAGAAGAGTGGAATTACTTCTCCAGTCTCCAGAATTGTATCTCCTGGGAATATTCTGGGCTTCCTTTCAACAATGGCATATGGTTTTGTAGTCCCATGATATCTGACATAGTAATGAACCACCCAGGCAGGTGTAAGTACGTGAGTAACAGCAAAGATACTGCTCTGGTATGTTCTTCCAAGGAGCCGGGTGCTGCAAAACTTACTCCAGAACGCCTCCATAGGCCATAGCTTCTGCAGGGGCAGCACAGGCTCCCAGGGGCTCAGTTCCTGGTCCTTCAGCCATCGCCTTCTCAGCTCCAGCAGTTGCTGCAGCCGCAGTTTCTCATCCGGCGTGTACCCCGTCTTGTTGCTGCTGGGGTAAGGCAAAAGGACCCGGCGCGCACCCGCTCTACCCTCACAGTTGTTTAAAACAGTCAAATACATTACATTGTTGGGTTTTTTCCTCAAAAGAAAAACTGAATTAATTTACATGAATCATTGGTTTGTTTCAGCTGTGTCCGAAGTTTTTACATACAAATTCTACAAGTCATACTTGGCCATTCAGTGCAGTTGCTGAATTAATAGGTATGTAAATTGACATTTCATGTACTATATATTGCTTGTGATTATCGTTTTAAAGACTTTATTGAAAAGCAATATACATGTGTGCTTTTTAAAAAGTATTCCAAATGCTATTACTGTAAAGTTTAACTTACCAGTTTAACTACTCAAATGGATATCAAAGTACTCATTGGTCAACCTTTTCTATAATACTATCCAAATAGTCATAGCATTTCAGTTTTAATTTGCTAAGTTCATAAAGTGTTTATAATGAAAATATTTTTATTTTGATCATGAAAGTAAAAAGTGGGAATTATGTTTCTCAGTAATGCAAGTATGTAACCTACATTGGATGCATTTTTCTGGTGTTAGGGGTTTTTTGTTTTGTTTTGGTTTTGGTTGGCTGGGGCTTGAACTCCCGGCTTCACGCTTCCAAAGCAGGTACTCTACTGCTTTAGCCACACCTCCAGTCTATTTTTGGTCTGGTTATTTTGGAGATGGGGTCTTGGGAACTGTTTCCTCAGACTGGTCTCAAACCTCAATCCTCCCCTTCTCAGCTTCCCAAGTAATGAGGATTACAGGTTTAAGCCACCTACACCCAACCTCTGGTGTTTAGGTTTGCCTTCACTGTGAGCTAGAAAGATCAGGGTCTAGGATTGTATTTTGATAGAGTTTTAATGAACGTGAGAAGAGAAGCATGTTGTGGTCAGATTTGTATTAAGAGGTCATGGTTATTTTCCTTCAGAAAATTCATGCACAAAAATAATTTTTAAAATTTGAGTTTGTGTTTTAAAGACATAAAAACATAATAAAGGGAGTTTTATTCTCGGGAATTCTTAGGTATACTTTAGTTTTGGGGTTTGTTTGTTTGTTTTAAGTACTGGGGTTTGAACTCAGGGCCTCACCCTTGCTAGCTCTACCACTTGAGCCACTCTGCCAGCAGTTTTTTGTGTTGAGTATTTTTGAGTTAGGGTCTTGCTTTTTGCCTGGACTGGCCTCAAACTGTGATCCTCCTGATCTCTACCTCCCAAGTAGCTAGGATTGCAGATGTGAGCCACTGGCACCCTCCTACTTTAGATTCTTTATCAAAGAAGGATCATAATTTAATGTACAAGAAAAAGAAGGAGCTTTTGAGCAAGCATGATTTTTGGATTGGTTTGTAATTTTGGGGGGGAAGGGGAGGAGAGGTAGTTTTTCCAAAGTTATCAGAACTGAGATACGCATTCAGGTGATTTTTCTTTTTTTAAATCTGGTGTACTATTCTTATTTTTATTCTTATTTTTTTATGGCAACCTAGTGGGGCTACCTGTAACTTCCATGATGTGGAATACCAGATTTTAAGTTTTTAATGAAATACTATGTTTCCTGAAGTAGCTGAAGTAACGCTTCTTTAATTGTAGACTGTTTCATAGAAAGATACTTTGAAACCATTATTTATAGTATAAAGACTTCAAAATATTTTCCATTTAATTAGAGACTAGTCAGGTGGATCTTGGATAATTCATGAGTTGATTTTATTAGTGCTACCATTTAAATATTTTTCATTTTAAAAATGTATTCTTTTATATTTACCTATGTGAGAGAAATAAGTATGCTGTGCAAAGACGTTAAGTCAGGAAGTTTGCAGCAATAGACATGTAAAAGCCACAACAAACTTTGGTTAAACTGACAAGGGCCACAGTTACAGACATTTGTAGGTGAATCTTCCATCTGTTTGTGTAGCTTATTAGAAAATGATACTGGCTTATTTATTTAATTACTTTCGTGTGCCTTCCATGTCAACTCCAGGGCTAGTTGACACTCAACTCTCACTTACACAGCCAGGCTAGTCCTACTGCTAATAATCTGTGCAGTGATGTTTTATAGTTCTTCAGTGTCACAGTTACCAGTTTTCACTCCCTGCATAACACAAAGGGCTTTGGAAAGAGTTATGCTATAGTTAATGAATGCAATTCACTTTTGTGTTTTCAAACCTTAGGAGTTTGTAAAACTTGAACCTTTTAAAAGTAGTCTTAATGTATGGGATTCTGCTGCTTGATACATGATTATTCTGAACTAACTACTCTTTAAAATGCAGACACAAATTTTTTCTGAACTTTTTGTCTTCCAGATAATGCTTATGATCCTGATGTGAATGCTAAACAGATATGGATTGACAAAACAGTGATAAATGACCGAATATGCTTGACATTCACTGATAACGGGAATGGTATGACAGCAGATAAGTTACATAAAATGCTGAGGTATGTAAAAATGTGCCACACTTGGGAGAATCTTGGCAGATTATTAGGCAGCTCCCACCATTCTCATCACCCATCCACATGTCTTGCCAAAAGTTCTGCCATTCCTTTAGAGTTGTAGCACTTTGATAACAGCTGTTGATACTTTAGTGTAAATTAGCTTTAACCATATTTCTAATAAAACTGCCATTGGTGGGGTGGGAGGACTTTAAAAGAGGTTGAAAGAATGAGGAAGTAGCATAAAATAGTCCTAAGGCCTTGGATTGCAGGGTCAGAGGACTCGAATCAAATATGCAGGAAATGGAAATGGAGCTATGCTAGTATAGGAATAGGGTAGAGGGGTGATCTAGAAGCAGAGGCCTTCTGCTGCCAAGAGTCATGTTGACTCCATCCCTAGTGATGCCATAGTAGGCTTGCTGAGAGCAAGATTTGAAGGTCACAGGAGCGCAGATTATAACTTGGCCATTTGACTGGGTGTGCTGGGCAATGTGTACTATGTAAGTAGTTGAAATCTTCTGCCCTGGTGATACAGACTTCATCTCACAACTGGGAAAATACATAAAGGTAGACTAAAAGAAATTTGCCCAAGATTATATAGCCAGGAAGGGTGAGGTCAGCATTTGAGCCTGGGCTTTTTACTTGGTAGTTACACTTACTGAATTAAAAAAAAAAAATTTGAATCTCTCTTTTTAGCTTTGGCTTCAGTGACAAAGTCACCATGAATGGTCACGTCCCAGTTGGATTGTATGGGAATGGCTTCAAGTCAGGTTCTATGCGGTTGGGTAAAGATGCAATCGTTTTTACTAAAAATGGAGAAAGCATGAGTGTGGGCTTCTTGTCTCAGACCTACTTGGAAGTCATAAAAGCAGAACATGTCATTGTCCCAATAGTGGCTTTCAACAAGCACCATATCCTTTGGATTTTGAAATAGAAGCTGTGGGAAAACTAAGAACATTCTGAAACATTCCATCTACCTGCCTTCTTCCAAATTCTTGGTCTTTGTGTTGTTTTTGAGAGAGTCTCCTATGTCTCTCAGGCTGATTTTCCTGCCCCTGCCTCCCAAGTGTGGGGATAAGAGGTGGGTGCTACCACACCCAGCCAAATCCTTGTTTTCAGTCATGTGCCTTTACCCTACACTTGAAGCTCAGGGTTTGCTGCCTTCTCTGTTTGACTTGTGCTCTGGAAATCCTCAATAGAAGATGGCTCCACTTTTGTGGGGTTCTTTTTAGGGGTGCAGGGGGCTGATACTGAGGCTTAACCTTAGGGCTTTGTATGTGCTGGGCAGGTATATGTTAAATTTTTTCCCAGTGCTGGTGATATTCCTGGCTCATAGTTCTCCTCATTTCAGGCTTATTGTAGACTAGTAAGTCTACTGGTATGGTTTGAAATTTTCCCTAATAACAATAAAAAGCAAGATAACTTCAGTATAATGTTTTTTGTATAACACATTGAAGTATTAGAAAGCATTAAATTAGTTATAAATAGTAAAATCTTTCTTTTTTTCTACTTTAAGTTGAGACAAGATTGCTTGGTATTTGCCTAGACTGGCCTTGAATTCAAAATCATCCTACCTTAGCCTCCCTAGTTATCTGGGATTATAGATACCAGTGCCCAACTACTTTCTAGTTTTCTTATCCTTCCTGGTGGTTATTTGAAATTGCCATTTTAAAACTTAGAAAAGAATTAGGAAATAGTTTCCTCTGATAATTTTAAGTTTATTACGGTGGTTTTCTCTTTCTGTGTCTGTATATTGGTTTCCGTGTTATAACTGGAAAATATCTTGGTGACCTCATTCTTTAACTAAGGACGTACGACAGATGATTAATTTAGCAGAATCAAAAGCAAGCCTTGCTGCAGTTCTGGAACATTCTCTCTTTTCTACGGAGCAGAAATTACTGGCAGAACTTGATGCTATTATGGGTAAGAAGGGGACAAGGATCATCATTTGGAATCTTAGAAGGTAAATGTAGACCTCACTAGTTGTTGACCGTTTGGAAAGTAAAGTACATGTACAGGATTGGTTTCACTATGTCGATCCCTTGTTACACGGAGTACAAATGGCTTCTATAACGATCTCTCTTTTCAAGGGTATGTCACTGAGACCACTTTGGTTTTAATTTGTAATACTTTTGACGTTGTTGTCAAGAATTTCTCATTCCTGCCATTCAGTCTCCACTAGCAAACAAGTGAAAAGACAACCCAGTTAGCAAGTCCAGATGGTGAAAGTCAGAGAAGTCTTTGTCCATTTTGTCTGTTACTTTAAGTGTGAGCTAGTATCTGATTGAAAAAGTAATCATAGATGCTAAAATTCATCGTCCTTTATCTGGGTGAGGATAAAATCCTCTGCAGATAAGAGCTTTAAAATTTAGGGTTAATGTGTAATAATGAGAAATCTAAGATCACTGAACCATAAAGCACAAATCCTCGGATGTGTAAAGAACTTTAAAACTTAATGCTTTCTGACTGGAATTCTTTTTTCTTTTTCCTTTTTTTTTTTGGCTTTTGCCTCCTTGCTTCTCCTGGAGAGTTTTTTATTTTCTCAATTAAGCTTTCTATTTTGAGATAATTGTAGACTCTAAGTGCAGTTCTAAGAAATAGTAAGGCATCTCATGTACCTTTTCTTCAGATTTTTCCCCAGGCATAACACTTTGTGTTGATAGTGACAGGATATTGTCATCCATCCAGCCTAATAGAGAGCACTTTCACCACCACAGGAATCCCTCGTGTTGCCCTGTTACTGTCACACCTTCTCTGCTCCCACCCCCTCCCTCCTTAATCTCTGGCAACCTGTAATCTGGTCCCTTTTCTATAATTTTGTCACCTCAAACAATGTTATATAAGTGGAACCAAACAGTGTGAAAACCTAGAGATTGTCTTTTTTTACAGCATAGTTCTCTGAAGGTGTATTCAATTCCCCTTGTATCAGTAGTTTGCTTCTTTTCTTGCTAATACTATATTGCGGGACAGACCCAATTGCGTTTAACCATTCACCTGGTAAGATGTCTGGGTTCACAGTTTAGTGCTGTTACAAATAATGCTATAAACATTAGGGTAAAGATTTTTGTGGGAATATAGACTTCAATTTTTTTAAAGGTAAGTGTTTGGGAATGTAAATTGTTCCACATGTCTGGAACAACGTAAATTGCTGGGTCAAATGGTAGTTGTGGTTTCAGTTTAAGAAACTGCCAGACCCTGTTCCAGAGGGATTGTTCCATTTTACATTGCTACCAGCAGTGCATGAGTGATGCAGTTCTCTCAAATCTTCCCTGAATTCCTTCTTTTTGCTTGCTTTGTCCCTGTCCTCCTCTTCCTCCCATCCCCCCAGGGTCTACTCTGTATTTTTGTTTGTTTGGTTTTTCCCCTACTTGCTTGCTTATCTTGCTTACCTTGCTGTGAAGTTACATTGTTTCTTTCTAAAAATTATTTTTACAGCTACAAAAATGCAACAGAGTTTGATTTTGAAAAGGATAAATATGACATCAGAATTCCTGAGGATTTAGATGAGACAGCAGGAAAAAAAGGGTACAAGAAGCAAGAAAGGATGGACCAAATTGCCCCCGAGAGTGACTATTCCTTGAGGGTATGTATTCAGTTATCTTTGCAAAAATGAGGAAGTCACCAAGTAATGGCAATATTAGCAGGCTTATGTTACCCACCTGCCTTTGGTCTCCGAATGAAAGTATCTCAGACATGAGTCAACTGACTAGCCTTTATATTAGTGCCCTGGCTGGTTGATTTGCTTAGAAACCTTGTTTTAATTGCAAAGTCATTTGCTCTAACAGTGCTTATAGTTCTTCCACTGTTACTTAGATTATTTGAGTTGGTGATACAGGAATCAGTATATTTTAAAAATGCCATACTAGCTGGGCTGTGGTGGCTCACCCTTGTAATCCTACCTACTTGGGAGACAGAGATAGTAGTATCAGTGGTTTGAAGCCAGCCCCGGGCAAAAAGGGCTGCTCATGGAATGGCTTAAATGGTTGAGTGCCTGCCTAGCAAGCTTGAAGTCCCAAGTTCAAACCCCAGTGCTGCCAAAAATAAATAAAATGGCCATATTGATTGATTCAGTTATAAAACAGCAAATTCAAAGTGTTTCTTTTTAAATATTGTAGAATATATACCTAATGTACCTTAATCGTCCTCCTAAAGAAATAATAGACTATAGGCAACATACGCTAATAGTTTTGTTATAAATATGTTTAATAATATATTTAATTACATAATGTAAACAAATTTGACCTTAGAAATAGGTATGTTTTTAAGATTGAAGAAGTGAACATTTTAATTAATTAGTTAATTAAGTTTTTTTTTTTCTCGATGGTACTAGGGCTTGAACTCAGCCTCTCACTTGCTAGGCAGGCACTCTACCACTTGAGCCGCTCCACCAGCCTTTTTTCATGTTGGTTATTTTCGAGATAGGGTCCTGAGAACTATTTGCCCAGGCTGGCTTCAAACCTCAGTCTTCCTAATCTCTGCCTCCTGAGTAGCTAGGATTACAGGCATGAGCCACCAGCACCTGGCTAGAAGTGAAAATTTTGATATAACAATGTTGATAATGATATTAAAAATATTAAACTTCTTGTGCCAGGCCCTGGATTTGATCTTCAGCATCATCAAAAAAAAGAATTAAGAACATTAATTCTTATCTTAGTATGATAAGACATGTGTTATTAATTTTTTGCTTTACTCTTTGTGCCAAATTTACTCCATAACTCCTAGTTGAGAATATATTTGACATTTACAAGTTTGCTGTGTAACTTTTTCTGGGGCCCTAGCAATTACGAGGTATGCACTCTTCCACTTGAGCCACTCCACCAGTCCCTGGGCCCTAGCAATTACAGTGACAACTATTTACTATTCCTTGGTATATCTGTGTTACTGGGGTCTGTCCTTGCTGTTAAGAAAATCTTGGGCTGGCAAAGTGGCTCAAGCAGTACAACACCTGCCCAGCAAGCATGAGGCCCTGAGTTCAAATCCCAGTCCTGCCAAAAAATAAAAAGAAAGAAAATCTTGCTTAAGTATGAAAACTCATCCCAAGGCAGGAGTAACAGATGGTTTAGTACACTATAAAATATAATGACAAAAACACTACTTCTTTTGAAATCAGGAGTTGAGGAAAAGTAAGCCATGTTCAAATCTTAGTTTTTGAGTTACTCAGTGCATTTCTTCAGTCATTTGGGGGCAGACACAGAAAAACATATTTTAAGATATTTTAGGTCACTGGGTGCCAGTGGTCATGCCTGTAATCCCAACTCCTGAGGAGGCTGAGATCAGGAGTATCATAGTTCAAAGCCAGCTCCATGTAAATAGTTTTCAAGACCCTATCCCGAAAATAACCCAAAGCAAAACAGGACTGGCAGAGTGACTCAGGTGGTAGAGTGCCTGTCTAGCAAGCGTGAGGACCTGAGTTCAAACCCCAGTACCACCCAAAAAAAAAAAATTTTTTTTTGTGTATATATATATATATATATATATATATATATATATATATTTCCCCCCCCCAGGTTATAAAATTTGTTCAAGTTTCTAAATGATCATTAAGTGTGTTGAAAAATAAAAACACTGACTAACCTTAGCTCAGTTTCAAAAAAGCACTGCTTGTCTCCTTTGCTTAAGAATTAGTATGTTATTTAGAATTTTTTCTTTATCAAGCTTACGTAGTGTTGTTTTTATTATATCTTGCTCATTAGTTGGGCCTAAATAAAATTATTTTGTTTTGGCTTCTTAAATTAGAATAGCAATGCTTCGATATATACTTGACAGAAAGGTAAAAAAAAAAGTCCCTTTTTGTGCTTACATACTTTTTAAAAATTAAAATGATACAGCATGCATTTGGTTTCATATAATATTTTAGACGCTGTGGAGCTATGCCAATAGATTGGTATCTGCAAATCATTTTCTGACCACATTATTGAGTTTGTTTTTAATACTTTTTTTTCTTGTTTATGAACTCATGGCTTCATACTTGCTAGGGTCTACCACTTGAGCCCTATCACTAGTCTTCTGTTTTGTTTTTTGGTGAAAATAATTAACATGTTCATTTGTATCATTACATAGTTACAAACTATGTAAAATTTAAATGTAAGTACATTGGAAATACACTTTAATTCATTTGAGCACCACAAGCATCAATATGAAAAAAAAAACCTTTAAGTTTTTTATTTTACTTTTCAGATAGGGTCTTGTGCTAACTTTGCCTGGGCTGGCCTTGAACTTTTAAATCTCTGTCTCAGCCTCCTGAGTGCTGGGATTTCAAGTAATTGCCACCACACCCTACTTGAGTTTATTTTTAATGAATAACTAATACATCAGAATAACTAATGCAGTTTTATACATACTCGGTATTGTTATTCTTTGGTGCTGGGGACTGAACTCTAGGTCTCTACCACTGAGCTCTGCCTCCAGTCCTATAGTCTTATTTTACTGGAGAGGTAATGTCCAAAGCAAGGTTATAGCTATCCTTGCTTAATCCACATCTAAGTGATGTCGAGCAAATCTGTAGATAAATCTTTAGAAATGAGCAACATTGCTATGTTTCTTTGCAGGCTTACTGCAGTATATTGTATCTAAAGCCAAGAATGCAGATCATCTTACGGGGACAGAAAGTGAAGACACAACTAGTTTCCAAGAGTCTTGCCTACATTGAGCGCGATGTGTATCGACCTAAGTTTTTAGTATCCTTTATTTTATGATGCTGTTTCCCATGTGTCAACTGAGCCTAATCTCCTTTGTCTCTTTCCCTTTTATTCCGATAGGGGTTCTAATCTCTAAGTTTGCCTTTCTCAGTGTACTTTGGGGCTCATAATTATGAGCTACAAAGAGTGATTTGAAGGGAGGGAAGTGTTGTGTTCAGAATTTTCTTTAATGTTTTAAGCCTAAAACAGTGAGGATTACTTTTGGATTCAACTGCAGAAATAAAGATCATTATGGGATAATGATGTATCACAGAAATAGACTCATCAAAGCTTATGAAAAAGTTGGATGTCAGTTAAGGGTAAGCTTTATATTTGAAGAGAAAATGTGTTTCTAACAAGTTAAAATGATGTTACTGGGTCATAGATGAAGCAGTTTTACAGGGTTTTTTTGCTAATGAGTTAGATGTCAGTCTTCTGAAAATAACATTATTAGGCCATTTGAACTTTTGTAATAATTTCTCATTTGATCATGAATAGTCAGCCCTATAAGGGAAGACGGAGTATTTTCTTCCTACTTCACAGATAAGGAAATCAGGTCTAATAAATAAGGTGTGCCACTTGCCCAAGATCTAAGAGCTAGTGTGAATCTCAGGCACAGACACACATCTTTTTTTGTTGTTGTAGTTTGCTTAGTTGCTTTTGGTTTGGAGACAAAGTCTGTGTAGTTTGTGCCTCAGGCTGGCCTCAAACTCAGAATCTTCCTGCCTTAGTCTCCCAAGTGCTGGGATTACACGAGTGCCACACCCTGCAACGTGTATCTGTTGATTGCATTTGTATATAGAGCCAGGGATTATTTTATATTGAAGTGAAATTGTTTGTTTTAGTGCTGACTGAGGCAGCCTGAAAAACAGAGTCTCATAGATTATTTACTTTTCTGGAGTTTGTTCCTAAATATAGTAAAACTGTCCTTTTAAACAACCTTCATTGTTGTGGAAGTCACTTTAGGATAAGCACAGCTGACCATGAGTCTTTCTGTCTTATACACATTTTCACAAAGAGATTTTTTGAGGGTTGTGTGTGTGTTGTCTAAAACTTCAGTAATAATTCTGAACTTTGTTTAAATGTTTTAAGGCTAGGTATATTTTCAGTGTTCCAGTTCTTTGTTTTTAATCTTCTAATGACTTTATTCAAAATTCTTTATAAAATGTTGTGAATTCTGCACGGTAGAGTAGTGTGGATTTATCTTGAACACTATTCAACACTGGTTGTAACTCTACTTTTCACATGGCATGAGCCCAGAATTAGCATTTTTGCAGAAGTAAATGGACTTTGTTGGGCTCTTCTTTGTAACCACTAGTTTCAGTCAGAAAATCAATTTTAAAAATCTGGTGATCATGATAGATTTTGCTAATGGCATTTATTTCAAAATACTAATTTTCATTTCTAATGGAAATACTCTGTTATTGAAGTTAACAAATTTCCTTAGTAATTAGCAAGGGATGTGGGGGGGGGTTGGGCATGGTAGAACACCTGTCTACCTGCCAAGCAAACCTCTGAGGCTCTGAGTTCAAATCCCAGTACCATCAAAAAAATTTCATTCTTGATAATAGGTCTTATCTCTAGTGCTTGAGATTCAAAAGCAACAATGTATCTGCTATAGAAAATTCTTTTTTTTTTTTTTCTGGTTACTTATGAATTTGATTTAGCTAGGTGGGATACATAATCCATTTTTCCAACCCTGCATTATATATAGTTTCAACAAGCCTGACCTTGTAAAAATAGTCTATTAGAGCAAATTTTTATCATTATCGGATGAAGAAGTGGGCCAAATATTTGCATTCTAGTGGATTAAAAAAAAACATTAAGTAGTTATCGCATACTCAATATGATTTGCCATTTTAGGTGTTCAGCCTAAAAAGATAAGACAGAGCAAATCCTAAGAGCTCCATTTGGTCAGGGGACTGGAATATCCTCAGAGCATCAGAAAAGTCTTCTTTGGAAGACTTTCATTAGAAAGTCTGGGAAGGGTGCTCCAGGAAGAGAGAATTTCTGTAAAGTAAGGGAAGGAGGCTTCTTACGGGAATTGTAAAGGGAGTGACTTGCTATGTATGGACTATATTGTAATTGGGGAGCAAAGGAATTGGAGAAAGACAGGAAGATGAGGCTGGAAACAAGGAGAACATGGACTCCAAATTGAAGGGTCTGTTACTCCTTTGGTTTACAGATGGCTTGATATGAAGACCACTGATGGTTTTTAATAGAGCAGGAAGGACTGCTGTCAGGTTTGCATGGTTTGGTCTATAGTTGTGTTGATGAAAATTTTCATTTTGTAAGTTACCGTGCTTTCACTTTTTTCTCAGTATGTAGCCATATCCATAATTGTGAACAAAATGTACTTGTTAATCCCACGTAGATAATCAGAATATGACTCATAATTTGATTTCAGAACTTTAGAGAGAAAAGTTTTAAAAAATAATGAATTGAGCTGATCTTGTTTTTTATTTCATTGTCATTAGCAACTGGTTAAACAACTTTGTCGGTTTGAGATGGAATCTGGCTTTGTTGCCCAAGGTATAATTTATAACTCGTGGGCTCACGTGATCCTTCTGCCTCAAACTTCTAAGTGCTGAAACTCTAGACTTTTTACCCAGCAACCTTAATAGAATATAATATGCTAGAACCTTTGTGAGATACTGCAAATATTAAGATAAGTTATTTGTGGTTCCTACTCTAAAAAGTTTGCTTCCTAGTAGAGAGGTCTTCATTAAAATTTTTGGTGGTTCTAGGGTTCAATCTCAGGGCTTTGCGCTGCTAGGCAGGCGCTTTACTGTTTGAGCCATCCCTCCAGCCCTGAGATAGTCCTTTTTGGAGATACCTTTTTTTGGTGTACATTTAGAGTGATACTATGTGTCATGGTAGAAATGATTTTGGGGGAAAGCTCTAATATATTTAGAAATTAACTTAAAAAAAATCATCTACCAGAAACATTTTTTCAATAAATTTCATGAGATATACAAGATAAAGTATAAGAAAGTATACAAGTGATCTTTATTGAAGGGCATTTTGAGTATCATATGCTGTGCTTAAAATGCTAATTTCATTTTATTATTTCAGGCAAACAACATGGGTGTTGGAGTAGTTGGAATTATAGAGTGTAATTTCCTTAAGCCAACTCACAATAAGCAAGATTTCGACTATACTAATGAGTACAGGTATGTTACCTATTTAAATTATTGACTGAGATTCTTAGGAAATGGTTTACAAAGAAAGCACAAATTTGCTGTATTTATGAGCTCAGTTGTATGCCTCATCAATAAAGACACAAGTCCAATATGCTACATGTGATGGAATAGATTGTATTTCCTAGGGTGGAAGAGGATTAAATGTGTTTTGTATATAAGCCCCATCACTTACTCATTTTGTTAAAGGTTTATAATATAGTTATAATTATGTAAAATGAAGTTACAGAAGTATTTCTAAACTAAACTTGAAGAAGTCAGTAATTGAACTGGGTAAGTAAAAGGCCTGCCCAGTGCTGCTGTGGAAGGTGTCCTGTGTTGCTGGGCAATATGAACTGCTGGAGGGCAGAGCATGGCCTGAGTATATCTGGAAGTTCTTTGGCAACACTGGGCTCACCAGAACCTGGATTGGGGTTGGCACTAAGAGACAGTAAACTGATAGTTGTCAGTTTGTTCTTTGATGAGATTAATAGAGTCTATAAGCATCTGGTAAAACTAAGAAAAAAAGAAAAGAAATTAAAAATTGTCAAAATGAGAAATGAAGACACTACAGGCCTTGTAGACAAAAACATTAACAGGATAACATGGGCACATTCCTTTTAAATTTTGTTAACTTTTGGATAATTTCCCACATATTAGAGTCAAACATTTAAGGAAAAAGTGGAACTCTTTTGAAGATATCAAGAGACCACATAACCTGTAGGCTCAAAGTACATTAAAGGGCTGGAGGAGGAGAGTGCTTGCCTAGCAAGTGCGAAACCCTGAGTTCAGACCCTAGTACCACCAAAAAGAAAAGTACATAAAAGAGAATCTGCTGTGATAAGTGCCCCTAGAATGGCCCTAGAATTCCGGCATCCCACATATTAAGGCAACAGGATAGGATGATCACGAGTTCAAGGCCAACCCAGGATACATAGCAAGACAATCTCCCCCCTTCAAAAAAGTTAATTAAAGAAAGGAAAAATGTCTTACTGTTATAAAGTCTTAAAATGATAGCAAGCACCATTCAGGTACATATACAAAAGATAATAAAGCCAAGTGAGCTGTGTTCTAAGATGACATGGTGGTTTTAATGCTCAAAAAGCTGCATGATTCAAATTAATTTAAAAAAGATAACTCATAGGCATCTTCATAGATACAGAAAACATACTTGATAAATTTCAACATCTGTGATATTTTTCCCCCAAGAAGCAAATAAAATTGAAGATCACGTTAAGCACAGAGAATTTACAATAAACAATAATCATCTTTTTTTTTTTGGTAGAATCAGGATTTGAACTCAGGGCCTTGTGCTTGTATAGGAGCCATACCTCCTCCAGTCCTGAACAGTGAACTCTTGATTTCCTTTAAGAGTGGGAATGAGATGAAAATGGTGAAGAGGATTGAAAAGAAAAAGAAAATAAGACTATTACTTGTAGTTGACAGTATCCTATATATAGAAAGTCCGAAATAGTCTTAAAAAAAAAAAAAAAGCAAAGACCTCTACACTTAAAACTGTAAAACATTGTGGAAAGAAATTTAAGACATAAATAAGACTCAGATTCAAGAATTGGAAGGCTGAAAATGTTCATTTTTCTCCAACATGATTAAATGCAGTTACATTTTTTTCTGTTTTTAAAAAACCCAGCAGATGTGTGGGGGTGTCAGTATTCATAGGCTTATTCTAAGTTCTTTGTGGAAAGTTGGAAGGCCAAAGCTACATAAGACATTTATTAAAGAATAACAAAGTGACCAGGGATATAGCTAAGTGGTAGAATACTTGAGTGCTTGCCCAGCATGTGGAAGGGCCCTGGGTTCAATCCCTAGTACCATCAAAAAAAGAAAAGCAAGAATTATGCACACTAGATACTTACTACCTTATTATAAAGCAAGCTGTAGTAATTTAGAAAGTATACTGTTCGTTTAAGGATAAACAGTTAAGTGGAATAAGCCAAAACTCTTTACTTCTTATACATCTGGTCACCTGATTTCCCTTAAAAGTTATGTTACATTGTAGTGGGAAAATGATCATCTTTCCAAAAGTGCTGGTATTGTTTTGGGCAGTGCTGTGAACAGAATCCAGGGACAAGTGCTCTCCCACAGAGCATTCCCAGCCCAGTTAGGCATATTTTTTAAACAGGACCCAAAAATTGTTGATATAATGAAGAATAATGAAACACTACTTTAAAATGAAAAGCCCCAGCAGATGCTGGCAAGTTGTGGGGCAGTTGGTACTCTTAAATCACTGATACCTGTGGAAGTTTTTGCAGGGTGGAGGGTGGGAGAAATACTGGGGAGTGAACCCAGGGCCTTGCAAGTGCTCTACCATTTGAGCCACACCTGTGGTCCTAAATTGTTGATATTTTGAAAACTGACTATTGAGTAAAGCTGTGTATCACTCTAGACCTATGACCTTGAAGTTCTAACTCTCAGGCATATTGTCAGCAGAAATAAGTGCAGTCTTAGGGATTGAGGATTACAGGTGATAAGAAAACAAGGTTGACAATTAAAAGTGATACAAAGGGAGAGCTGGTTTGGGAAGAAAGATGTCTTCTCATTTGGAAATTTATGTGATCTAATAGGACTTCTGTGGATAAAATAAAGTCACCAGGAGTTGAGTGGAAATAGGTTAAAAGGTGATAGTTGTGCCTGATGTTTTATATTTATTTATGTTTATATGTTACTTGCTATTTATATATCATATGGCATATAACAGTTTCTACTATAATATACATATATTGTAGTAATGTTTTAAGAGATTATGTTATAGTGCTAATGTATAATGTTATAAGATGTGAGGATACAATTTTTGCAATTTTGGTAGGGTTCTTGTGTTTTGAGACGTAGTCTCACTGTATAACTTAAGCTGACCTCCAACTGGGTTCTTTTCAGCCTCCTAATTGCTGAGATTCACAGATGTTCCCACCACACCTGGCTGAAGGTCTGAATTCTTGGGAAGTAGGGGTCAGCACTCGGGTTTGAACTCAGGGCCTCACACTTGCTAGGAAGGCTCTCTTACTGCTTGAGCCACTCCGCCAGCCCTGAAGGTCTGATTTTTTTTTTTAAGCTTTGTTTTAAATTCAGAATGTTACATTGCCTGTATCTTACATTCTGTACACATAGTTCCTGCCACAGTAATGAATTATTCATTAATGAATAATTACTCAATTGTGACCTTAGTCTCAATTATTTTATTAACACTTATTGTGGAAGAAGTGAAAGCCTTAATTGTAGGACACAAGCAATTTTGAACTGTTCTTGTTAGTTGTGATTGTTTTCATAAACTACGGGTTTGAGTTCTGATTTGAGTTGAGGCTGTGAGTCTATTGGTTAGGATTGAAATGGTTCTCCAATATACTTTCTCAACCGAGAACCCATCTTCGCTTCCTCTCTTCCTCCCCAGGGCTCTATGCATATTAAGCAAGCACTCTACCACTGAGCAGTATCACCAGCCTTACTACCACTCTTCGTCTTATTTTCTAGATGATCCTGTCTCTGCTCTAGGAACTTTTAAGGGCCCTTATAGAAAATTGGCATTACTTTGAGTGGTTATTAACCACACATTTTGAAGTTTTGTTCTCACAGTATCCATGTAATTATTAATACATTATTTATGTTTTATTTTGTGTTTGAAATATATTCAGTCTTCATATTTTCCCTTGAGTTGATTTTATAATTTGGTTTTTTAAGGCTTACAATAACAGCACTCGGAGAAAAACTCAATGATTACTGGAATGAAATGAAAATGAAGAAAAATGCAGAATATCCTCTAAATTTGCCAGTTGAAGATATACAGTAAGTACATTTAGAATATCAGGTCACTATGATTTCAACATAATGGAGTATTTGTAATATGCAATATTTTACAAATGTTTGACTAACTCATAGCAAGAAATACATTCAACATGAAGCAGCACTGTAAAATAGGAGGATTTATGCATGTATACATGCACACAAAGGATTCATTAAATAGTATTAGTGTGATACATGTAGATACTGTTCTTTAAAAATGCAATCTTGGTGCATTAAATTAATTTCAGAATCCAGTAACAGGTTGCTCCTCATATTTTGAGAAATTCTGGTGTAGTGTAATCATTAGGAATGAAGTTGTAGGGCTGGCAGAGTGGTTCAGGTGGTAGAGGGCCTGCCTTGCGAGTGTGAGGCCCTGAGTTCAAACCCCAGGGTGGGGGGAGAGGGAGGGGGTGGAGTGGGTGGTAAGGGACCAATGACCCAAGCCTTGTATGCACATATGAATAATAAAGGAAAAAAAAAAAAGTTCAAACCCCAGTACAGCAAAAAAAAAGGAACAAGAGTCTAAAACTTACAGGATATTTTAGGTCCTAGACCCAAATTCCATAGATCAGATCCATCCACTTGCCTCAGCATGCCAAATATGAAACGACAAAGATGAGTGAAGATGAAAGGCAAAGAAAAGAATTTTATTATACAGTTACCCTGAGAAGAGGGAAGTTCAAACCTCCCAGTACCACCAAAAAAACAGCAAAACATTCTTAACACATACAGAATTAGGTGCTACTTTTATATAAATATGTTAAATTTTAACCTTTGAAAATCTTACATGTATATTTAAAATGATAACCAACTTAATCATGCACTTTTTTTTTTATGTTGCATCTTTTACATACTTTTTGAGATTTACTCACTTATTTTGTAATGTTCTGAGCTTTCTGGTGTTTGTGCCTAAATCCTCTTTTTTGCGTTCTAGAACAATTGTTTGGGACAAATCTTACTTTATAAAATCCTTTTTCACCCAAAAACATTTTTTTCTTTACTTCTCCAAAAATATACCACAAAAGTTCTTATATTTTCCTTTTTGCTGATCCTTTTCTGACTCTTTTTTAAAATTTGTATTTTGAGTTAACTGCTACAATATTTTTAAATTTGAACAAAATTTTTTATTTATTTTTTAATTATGAAGCTACAGTAATCAAAAGAGTATTGTACATGTGTGAGAGGGCTTGGGGTCAATCCTCAGCACCACAAAAAAGTATTGTACTGGCATAAAAACAGACAAATGGAACATAATAGAAAACTCAGAAACAAACTCATGCGTATACAGTCAAGTAATCGCCAACAAAAGCACCAAAGCTTTATATTTTTAATAAAATAGTAGTCTTTTGTTTTAATTAAGACCCAGGAAGAAAGTAAACTATTTTTCTGTACAAAAACAATTTACAAATCAAAATTCTGACAGAATGAGAGAGGTTAAGACTACCTGTCCACATCAGGCAGCTTTAGATGGCTTCATTTTTAAATGGTCTTTTAAAATACTACTATTTTTCCTTTTCTGTAGTCCCAAGTATTTAAAAGTTACTCTTCAGTGCTTAGCTTAGAAACACTTAAGGGCCTTTTGAATGACCAGCTTTTGGAAGAGTTTTTGCATACTAACTTTACAATAGCAGTTTAAGAACCATCCTAAAGATGTGTGTATACACGCATACATGCACACATTTTGAATAAGCCATGCCCAAACTGAAGCGAACATAAAAATGAGCTGAAAGATGGTAGTTGTTTTCTGGAATTCCAGGGCAAATGAACTTTTTGCCCAATGTTTGATAGTCTAATGTATAAAGATAACACATATAAACACATTAATTTAGAGTATTTTCAAACCTTTCAGTCATAGGTTTCAGTTTTCCCCATGTGGCAACAAGATGGACTCATGATCTTTTTTAACTTTCAAACAAATCATAGATCTCCTTAAACCTCCCAAGTTTTCTTTGGGGGTGGGTTTCTTATGTCTGTCCCCAACTCATGATCGAAGCGTCCTGAGTCAGGACCTGCACCCTTTGTTCTTCACCTTCTTCTGTGAGCAAGAGTTGCTACAAAGGGGCATTGGTCTGCCCTGAATGATGGGTGACAGGCAGAGGCATAAAGCAGCCTCAGCCTACCAGAATGTGAGATGCTTTCATGGCAGAAGTAGTACCTCTGGTATTGGGTCTGCAGGAAGAGGCATGGTGGCTCTGGTGGCATTTCCTTCCACCTTCTACGAAGTCCTCTGTGAATTCTGGCATAATGAGCAGACTAACTGATTCCATCGCTCAAGTCTGACCTCGGGGCAGGAACCATTACTGCTCTTAGTTGATCCTGGTAGGCCCTGCAATATTTTTTTCAAAATACTTTTAGATGGAATACAGTTGTACAAGACATGCAAAGTCTAAAAGAAACAGTTTAAACATGAAAGATGAAAAAACCTTCCAGAACTGAGGACACAGGTAGAAATCTTTAACAAGAGCCAGAATGGGACACGAGTTCTCCCCCAAATCAAGGGGGGATGAATCCTCTAAATTCCCTAGTGTCATTTTACCTGAATGTGCCTCCCTCAAAATGGCACAAACAGATGCCCCACTTTCTCAGGGCCAAGGAGGTCCCAAGTGGGACCTTTCCAGACAGTGCACTCATAAGTGGAAAGATGAAGCTCCTGAAATAAAAGTAATTGTAGCTACGGGGCACCAATTCCATCTTCCCTCTCTCTCCAGGACCAACTAGCTGCAAGTGACTAATGCCTAAAGGGAGCATTTTGTCCCTTTTTTCTGTGATCACCAGTTCTTCTATAGGATGTTTTAGGTCTCAGACCCATACTCCTGGATTTCATAGGTCAGATTCGGCCACTTGCTCCAACACCAAATATGAAAGATGAGTAATGGTGAAAGATAGTGAAAGGAATTTTATTATACAGCATAGGCACCCATGGGAGTGAAACCAGAGTTTTAGACCCAAGAGCCAAACTTGGGATTCCACATGCCAGGTCCAGCCACTCACCCCTATATACCAAATAAAGAGCCACAGTGAAGGCAGAGAAAGGAGATTTATTACAAGGGCTCAGGACACTTTGTGGGAAGAGGCAGAGTAAGCACTCTCCATCTTCAGCCACCTTTGGGGTATAGATATGAGTTATAGGTTTAACTAGACAAAGAACTAGAGGCAGGGGACAAAGGTATGCATGGTTAAACATCCCAGTCACAGCTGTGGGCTAGCTGGTCATTAGCTCAGTCCTTGTTTGGGGAGAGATTATGGAGTTGTTATCTAGAGTCAGGCAGGTGATCCATCCTGAGAAGGCTCTACTTGTTGGGGGTAGTTTTGGTCCCTTATCATGAAGATGTTATTGATCATTCCTGTGCTTTTTTAATTCCAAGATGGCTGCAGGAGAGAATGGCTCAGAGCAAAGGACAATAGGTACAAACAGTGATGCCAAGCTTTTCTCCTGTGTTTAGTTAATTCACGGGCTCAAGTAAGGAGTCAGTGCTTTTTAGCAAAAGTAGTTTAAGCACCTCTTACAGGAGGAGGAAAGGCAGCATTTCAACCCATCTTCAGCCATCTTCCCCACCAGACATTTTGCTTAGTTTAAATAAGAGGAAGAATTGGGGAGCAGTATGTATGAACAGTCCCAGTCACAGGTGTGTTTTGGTGGTCATGGGTGGTCTGGTAGCCCTTTGAAGATTGTACAGGGTCTTGTTATTGTACGAGTCATCAATGCCTGACAGATGGTCCTGTCCTTCCTGGATTCCAAGATGGCTATAAAGTCAGTGCAGAAGAGAATGTGTTAAAGCAGAGGACACAGGTGCATAATGGAAGACAGGCTGCCTTGCCTTTATCCTGCTAATACCTCCAGCTTGTTTTTTTGTTTTTGTTCTGTGGTAGTGAGGATCAAACCCATTGGTGGAATGATTCGAGTGGTAGCAAGCATGAAACCCTGAGTTCCAACCTTAGTACCACCGAAAAAAAAATTGTACAAATTTAATTATTCAGATAAATATTACCATAGAAAGTAAAAATCTAGTTATATAACTTGAAATTACTTACAGTGGTAAAAATTACTTACATTATAGTAATACTGCTCTATTTTCTGTACTTGGGTTGGTTTGTTGTGATAACAGATTTACTGTACATTTGACATTGTAGTTGCTAACCTAATATTTCAGGGCAAGGTATTTGGAATGATTTTTAAGTTACCATTATTATGGAAAACAATTTTAATAGTATGTGGTTAATCAGATCATTTAAATTGCCGTATTCTAATTGATCTGTGACTTAACACTTTGCAGGTAGCCAAATGATTGCTTTTAAAAATTTAAATTGATATATAACAAATACAGTTACCTCGCTGAATTTTCAGGAAAAGAATTATGTACTTGGGCCTTTTGTGGTAGAAATGATATAGAATAATCTGATGAGGCACTTAGAGTTCATACTTCCACGTTAACATTTTTTTTGTTTTGTTACAGGAAACGTCCTGATCAGACATGGGTTCAATGTGATTCTTGTTTAAAGTGGCGAAAATTACCAGATGGGATAGATCAACTTCCAGAAAAATGGTATTGCTCCAATAACCCTGACCCACAGTTCAGGTACCATATAGTTGGTAGGACCCTTTTTGGAAAGACAGAAAGTAATATTCAAGATGTATAAATAGGCGCTGGTGACGTGTTATTCCCCTATGATTTTTCTGTCTAGAAATTGTGAAGTTCCAGAAGAACCTGAAGATGAGGATTTAGTACATCCCACTTATGAGAAAACATACAAAAAGAAGTAAGTAGTATGTTAATGTCCAGTGAGGAAATAAAGAGTAGGCTAATGTAACTAAAAAGATGATGTGCAGTGCGTAATAGCACGTGCTAGTTTGGTTTTCTTTTTAAGCTCATGTTGTTAATAACTTGTTTAATGACTTGATATTTATTACTGTCTTATCAAGATAGTTTGAGTTGGGTGCTGGTGGCTGACGCCTATAATCCTAGCTACTTGGGAGGCTGAGATCAGGAGGATCATGGTTCAAGGCCACGCCTGGTAAATAGTAATCTCCAAAATAACCAGAGCAAAATGGACTGGAGGTGTGGCTCAAGCAGTAGAGCACTTGCTCTGCAAGTTCAAACCCCAGTTCTACCAAAGAACAAAAAAGAAAAGTGTATATTCCTTTCTTAATAAATTTTGCTTTCAAAAAAAATTTTGTTTTCAAAACAGTAGTTTATCTTTTTGAGTCCTAGATAGATGAATTGTATGTGAAAACTTGCCTTAGGAGCTTATTTAACAGAAAAGCAAGACAGTGTTTATTACCAATTAGAAGGTGATGAGTAGAGGAGGGGCAAGCAAAGAATACTGAAGGCGGTGAAGAGAATCGAGGGGGGAAAAAAGCGGAAACCAACCACTTAGTAAAAGGGGAGCGAGAACAGAGAATGAGGAATGGAAATATGATGGAAGGGCGAATTTGTTCCAAGTAGGCCTGAAATTATCACAAACGAAATCCCCTTGTATTTTAAGTATGCTAAAACAAAAATAAAATAAAACTGTCTTTTAAAAAAGAAGCCGATGAGTGCTGCAAAAGGTACAATTCTGTATTGTAAGGAAGCTCAAAAGGAGAGATTACTTTTGTAGGGCAGGTAGGGATCAGGAAACTTCATGAAAGGAGTCATTTTTGTGATATTCTTTGCCAGGAGCAAGATGATTAAGGTAAGAGTGAAAAGGGAAGCTTAAATCTATGAATAAGAATGATGGAAAATGCAAGTGGGATAAGATAAGGTGTGGAAACTTTAATGTAATATACCCAGAAGGCCAAGTTCACTAAGAACTTTTCAGGTAGTTTGCTGTGTAATAGTATACTATCCTTTAATTAAATTTGGCAACAATATTGGAACTAAAGAAACCAATTAAAAGCCTATATAATAGACTAGTTGAAAGGTGTGGGAGGTGGGAGAGGGAGAAACAGCAAACAAAATTGGGACTAGAGGTATGGCTTAAGCTGTAGAGTGCCTGCCTTGGAAGTGCAAAGTCAAGAGTTCAAACCCCAGTGGTGCCAAAAATAAAACCCAGGTTTGAGATCCAGATCTGTAGGGTTTGAAAGTTTCAGGCAGACATTACAGTGCCAGTAAGATTGGGGGAAAGGGAGGACTTAAGAAAAGGAAATTATTTCCTTGTTTTAGGGCTTGCCACAATGAATGTAGAGAAATCCATTGAGTAGTGTAACTTGGTAATGACACAGCTGTGTCATTGAAAAATGGGATTGAGAAACAATGATACAAATGTAAATGTGTTCATTTTTTATCTTTCTTTTGAAGCAACAAGGAAAAATTCAGGATCAAACAACCAGAAGTGATCCCTCGGGTAATTAAGTCTTCCATTTTATAACTCTGTCTTATTTTTGGTAGTACTTAGTTTAACTGATACTGAACAAAGGTTTGGACTTAAGAGATTGGAAGGATAGTGTTTATTCAGTTAAATCTCCTTTTTGCCCTTTTTTTCAACTCTCCCTAACCCAGTAACCTTATTCATACTGTTCAGTTGTATTGCTTTGTTGGGCATCATCTGAACTAAGATAAACCTTCCTTTAAGACTCTTATTGTTAGAGGGCTGGAGGCATGGCTCAAATGGTCAAGCATTTGCTTAGCGTGCACAAGGCCCTGAGTTCAAACCCAGTACCGCCAAAAAACAAACGAAGCATCTTACTGTTAGAGAGCTAGGTGTGGCATAGGCACACCTTCATTCCCAGTACTGAGAGATTGAGGCAGGAGACTGGGCTACAATCAATCTCTCTCAAAAACAAGTAGTACAGAACAACAGAAATGGACCTGGGGTCTACTCAAGTAGTAGAACACTTGGCAAGCACAAGGCCCTGGGTTAATCCCTAGTACCACAAAAAGAAAAAATGGAATCTTACTTTTAGATAGGCAGTTAAGGAAGAAGAAAAAAATCACAGGAGCACCCAGGGAGCCATGTTCTGTTGCTGACCTGGAACAAGGCTAGTGTTTTCTTTCCCTTCGGTAACAACTCAGCCAGGTCTTTATATTCCTTTCTTAGTACCTAAAAGTGTTATGGAGCTTTGGATGCTGAGCATTGTGCTGCACATCTGTGATTCTAAAAGTCAGGAAGTAGAGGCAGAAGGTTTGCAAATTTGAGGCCAACCAGAGCAACGTAAAGACCCTGTCTCAAAACCCAGGAGGTGGGGAGTTTTTCAGTGGTTGGTAGAGTGCTTGCCTACCATGTGCAGGGCCCTGCATTTGATCCCCAGCACTAGAGAACAACCCAAACCTGAGCTTTGGGTAAGCATTTGAGTAGAAGTAAGTGGCTAGATTTCTCGTGTGAAAGGCTTAGGTCTTTCACACAAAGACCAAATATTTGCTATAGTTTTGAGTGTGAACTCAGATCAGAGGGAAAAAGAATAACAGACTTACTTTGGTTCTTTATAACTATTTTCAATTAGAAATTTTCATTTTTATTTTATCTTGGTAAGTTCTTTATGTCAGATCATCACATAGTAAATCTTTTTTGGCTTTGTGGACCACGTGCGTTCTCTGTTGCATATTGTTTGTTTTGTTCACATCCTTTAAAAATGTAAAGCTTTTCTTAGCTCACTTGCAGAATGAATTTGACTTACTGGTCTGTTACTCCTTGGTTAGTTAGCACAAGTAATTTACATGTGCAGAATAATTCTCAATGTCTTCTTGGATAAGGAGAGTCTGTCTTTTGTTTTGGGCTTGTCACATTAAAATGATACCTTTAAGATTCATTTTTTTTCCCCTCCAACAGATTAATACTGAACTGTTGTTTCGGACAACCCCTGTGGCAAGTCAGAACTTCTCTCCTTTGAAAGAAAGTGTTCCAAGAGGACATGTTTCAGAAGTGGCAAATTCCTATGCAACAAGACTTTTAAATAATCATCGAGTTTCACCCCAGACTGAACCTGACAGCAACAGGTTAGTGAAGATGTGTATTTCCTCTTGTGGAATATTGAGTGGGACCTTTATATGACACTTCTAAGATGATAATGCAGTTGTAGAAAACCACATGAAAGTAAGAAGTCTTAAGGTCAAGTTACTTTGGTTTTTGTCTGAATTTTCCCCCACCCTCCTCTGCCATCTATTTAAATTTCTTAAACAATGTCAGTTGTATATTGTGGAATTTGATCAAATTGTGACCTGTTTGTGTATGAAAATTACTGCTTTTAAGATGATCAGTATCATAAGTAAAGAAAAACATGAAGCAGTTAACACAAACTGCAGAAGATCAGGAGTGACTGAAGCAATGATAGATGAAAATGGAATGATGCTTTTAAATTTTTGAGAAAATAACTTTGTTTGTAAGTCCGTAGAATAGCCAGCAGTAAAATTGAGAGATGAATAGAGACAGGTTTGTTTGTTTGTTTATAAACAGGGCCTCGATACGTATCCCAGACTGGCCTCCTAAGTGTGCCCCACACTTCGTTTAAGAAGTTTACATTATGCAGAACTTCATGTTTGTTAGTCCTGTACACCCTTTCTCAAGGTTCTGGGAGATTGTATGCCCTCAACATGAGAGTAAACCCAAGAAAGCAAAAATCTGGCCTCAGATCAAAGAGTTCTAATATATAAGGTTCAAATAGAAAAGAATACAAATACCCAAGTGTGAGAAATAGTAATCTGGTGATACATTTACAGGAAACTCTGCTATGTAAATGGAAATGAGGCAACTTTTAATCCTTGGGAAGTTGTTTTGGTAAAATGATAGGGAATACTGCCTTGCTTTATGGCTTTTCCCTTTCATCATTAAACATTACAAAAATTGTGTCAGGCAAAATGGGAATGGTGTACCATTCTCTTGAGAGTACAAAGAAGGGGCCTGGATAGGTAGCATTCATTTTGGGTATGTGCTCTTTGAATGCTTGGAAGTCATCACATGGAGAGGCGTTTGACAGTTTACAGAACAGGTATTTCAGAGATCTTAGTAGCTCACTATTTCCTGTCTGTAAAAGGAGAAAATAATTACCTCATTAGTTCAATGAGAGTACTATATATATAGTTTGTTCGTTTTTTTTTTTTTTTTTTAATGAGAGTGGGTATTTCTTAGAATGTCAAGATAATTTTGAAATTGTTACAAAGTGAATTTGTTAGAATGATTACTTCAGGGTTATCTTTTGTTTCTATATTTGTATGTTATAATTTTAATTTTTTTCCCAGCATGAAACGGAGACTTTCTACTCGTTCTTCAATTTTGAATGCAAAGAACCGGAGATTGAGCAATCAAGCATTTGAAAATTCAGCTTATAAAAATGATGATGATGATGAAGACGTCATCATCTTAGAAGAAAATAGTACTCCCAAACCTGCAGTAGATCATGATGTTGAACTCAAACCTGAACAAAGTCACATTGAGCAAGGTGGTGTTCAGGTTCAGCTTGTGGGTGATACTGAACCTTGTGGCCAAGCTAGTTCAACAAGCACCTCCTCATCCAGATGTGATCAGGGCACTGCCGCAGCCACCCAGACTGAAGTGCCAAGTTTAGTTGTTAAAAAGGAAGAATCTATTGAAAATGAAATAGGTGTAGGAAGTGACACGGCAATGCTGCCGTCCTGTGTAGATGCTGAAGCAAAGACACAGGACACCCAGGAAACCTTTGATAAGTCTGTGGATGATGTTGGCTGCCAGCTACAAGGACTGAGAAATGAGCTTCTTTTAATTACCCAAGAAAAAGATAATTATAAGAGACAGTGTTACATGTTTACTGACCGAATCAAAGTGTTACAACAAAGAATACTAGAAATGAATGACAAATATGTGAAGAAGGAAACTTGCCATCAATCTACTGAAACTGAAACTGATGGAGTATTTTTACTTGACAGTATTAATGGCAAATCTGAAAGTCTAGACCATATAGTGTCGAAGTATCAGCAAGCTTTGGAAGAAATAGAAAGGCTGAAAAAGCAGTGTAGTACTTTGCAACATGTAAAAGCTGAATGCAGTCAGTGTTCTAATAGTGAGAATAAAAGTGAAATGGATGAAATGGCTGTGCAGCTTGATGATGTATTTAGACGACTGGACAAATGTATTGTTGAGAGGGATCAGTATAAACGTGAGGTGAGTTGTATCATGCAACACAGTCATTAGTTCAAAGCTATTGAAGTCCTTAAAGAACTGCCATTTCTAAATTGGAATACTTTCACTCAGTAATAATTCTTTTTTCTGAGTGTCTGTTACTCCTGGTTAGTAACTGGGGAGTGGGCCTCCTGTGGTCATAGGGAGATGTAGGAACATTTTTGGTTCCTACAATATCTTGAGCATATTACTAGAAAATAGTGGGAAGTGGCCAGGTGTGGTAAATGTCCCACGGTGCACAGGACATTCATTGCTATACAATGAATAATTGGTCAACTCCGAATATCTCTATTAAGACACTCAGAAACTCAATATATTTGGAGCTTTGCACCAGTTATCATTATTAGTATACTTTTGATAACTATCTGATGATGGTTAAGTGGCTTAAGCGCTAGCATGCCTGCTTAGCAAGCGTGAAGCCCTGCATTCAAACCTCAGTATCACCAGAAAAAAGAAATTGATAACTATATGAGGTGGATATTAGTATCTTTTTATACATGAACCCTTTGTTAGGATTAGGTTTGTGCACAATACCCAAATAAGTTGGCTACTCCACAGTTATCTCAGATGTAGGCTCTTTCTGTGTCATTACTTTGTTTTCTGAGGTGCATTTGTGATCTGGGATGACTGTTCAGGTCCAACCATTATATCTACATTCTAAGCTGCAAAGAAAGGAGGAGTTGCTTATATTCTATGTGACTAATAGATGCCTGGGAAATATAGTCTGTATGCAAGAGATCATTTACTTAGGAAAAAGGAGAAAAACAGATTTCAGAAGACAAGTAGTAGTCTCTGCATATGTCCCACTTCAGATTCAAGAAACATTGTCTCTCCCCCCTCCCCGTGCCAAAATCCAAATCCACCCATCTCCCTCCTGTGGTACTGGGGTTTAAACTCTATAGCTCAAGCCGTGCCTCCATTCATTTTTGCTCTGGTTACTTTGGAAATAGGGTCTTGCTCTTTTCCCAGGCTGGTCTGGACCATGATCCTCCTATTTTACAATTGCTACTTTTGCTGGGATGACAGGCATAGACCACCACACTCAGATTTTTTCCCTGGAGGTGGGGTCTTGCAAACTTTTTTGTCTTGGCTGGCCTTGAGCTGTGATCCTTCCAATCTCAGCCTCTCACTAGCTTGGGATGATAGGCACATCTCACTGGCGTTGAGCTGAAGCTGCTTTTTTAAAAAATCCATTTTATGTTTGAAAGGGTTCCCTACCAAAAAGTTTTCAAAGTACATTATAGTGTTATACTTCCTCTTCCTGCAAATATCACTGATAAAACTGCAAATACTTCATGATGGGTAAACTCGAGAGCTAAAAGACAAAATATACAAAAATCAATATAAACTTGATGTTCTAACTTAATATTGAGTGTGCATAAAATGAAAACCACTGTGGCTTAATAATATAATCAGGGATGGCATCTTGGTGTTTCAGTTTCTATGTACCACTTAATTTTGGTCAAATGGTAATTAACATTTTGTTTTCTCTCTATAAAGAGATAAGGGCTGGAGGTGTGGCCTGAGTGGCAGAGTGCCTGTCTAGCAAGCATAAGGCCTTGAGTTCAAACTTCAGTACCGCAGGGGAAAAAACCAAAGACATAAAAGTAAAGCTAAACAAATGAGACTGTTTATAGAACACCATGGGGAGCTGGAGATGTAGCTCAGTGGTAGCATGCTTGCTTAGCAAGGTTACGGTCCTGGGTTTAATCTCTAGCACTGGGGGGAAAAAAGAAAAGTATCTGTGCATTTAGGGTTTTGATAGCTGGTAATTTTATCAAGGTGGTTCTCTTAGATTAAATTTGGATTTGAATAGTATTTTAAAATTTTACACTTACAAAATTCTTTTTTTTTTTTTTTTTTTTGGTCAGGTTGAATTATTAGCAATGGAAAAATCACAAATTCGTTCTCAGTGTGAAGAACTCAAAACTGAAATTGAACAGTTAAAATCTACATGTCAACAGACAGGAACAGACGTTTCAACTTCAAGTAACATTGAGGAGTCTGTAAATTACACTGATGGGGAAAGGTAATATTAAAGGAGGCTTTTTGCTGCGGCTGCAGTTATGACTAGCAAACTAATTTTATCTGTTAGCACAAATTAAATAGATAATCCTACCAGGACATGTCACTGGTCATCCATTTCTTTTTTTTTTTTTTTTCCTACATCTTTTATTAATCCATTCACAGTTTCTTGTCTTCTGGTTATTAAAGCAGTAAGTCAGACAACACTTGCCACAGGAGTGTCTGTCGAAGTGGCTAGCCATAAAAACTCCAGCACCACTCCAGTCTCATGGCAGAGGCGGCTAATTTTGCCATTTTCATCAACCTTACAGTATTTCAAGACGTCCAACTTAACCTTGTTTCTCTTACACTTATTCTTCTTGGGAGTTTTGTAGGACTTCTTCTTTTTTTTAGCACTACCATGAAGTCTCAACACAAGAGGAAGGGTGGACTCCTTTTGAATGTTGTAGTCTCACAAAGTATGTTCATCTTCTAGTTACTTACCAGCAAAGATCAGTCTTTGCTGATCAGGAGGGATTCCGTCCTTAAACTGGATCTTGGCCTTGACATTTTCTGTAGTATCCGAGGGTTCAGCCTCAAGCATGATGGTCTTCCCTGTAAAGGTTTTCACAAAAATCTGCGTCTTGATGGCGTTCAACCTTAGCTGGTGGATTTGAAAGCGGTCATCCATTTCTGATCCCCACATTATGGTGGAAATTCAAGGATGGTTACTCATCAGCGTCCCTTATGGTGCTGCCAGTTTGGTTCCATTCAAGAGACATGGGGATTTAGAAGGAATAAAGAGTATCTTAGAGTGTTTTTGAGGAAAAGTGTAAACTGAGCTATGTCTTGAAGAATGGGATGAATTTGGCCATGGCTAAATTAATCTGACTTGTTTTACTTTAGTACTTGGCACATTTCCTTGAGTTCCCATCCTTGTGTCTCTCTATGTACTCTGTAATTTTAACTTTTAGGAAAAGACAAATTAACTAAAAATGGCCCTAGAACAGATACTACTGTTAGAAATAATACATGATTATCCTATCTCTGTGAGATCTAAAATGGGCTTGGGGTTCTGTTTAGATTTGTTTGTTACTGTTTTTTTTTATTAATTGCTGTTTTGTTTTTGAGGCAGGGTCTCATGAAGTAGCCCATGCTGGCCTCAAACTCATGATCCTCTTACCTCAGCCTTCTAAGTGCTGAGATTTCAGGTATGTGCCACTACAACTGGCTTAGACTTGTATTTGTTTGTTTGGTGGGACAGGGGATTGTACTCAGGGCTTCACACCTGCAAAGCAGGTACTCTACCACTTGAGCCACACCTCCAGTGCATTTTACTCCGTTATTTTGGAGGTGGGGTCTTGTGAACTATTTGCCTGGCTGGCCTCGAGCTGTGGTCCTTCCAGTCTCAGCCTCCCAAGTAGCTGGAATTATGGCTAGATTCGCTTGCAATCGTAGGAAAGGCAGAAGTTCAAGGGCAAGCGTGGTGGCTCACCATTAGAAACAGTCTCACCTCCTGCCAACCTCACTAGACGTTAATTACTGCTTTGTCTTTTAGCTTAGGTTTTTAAAGTGTTTTATCACATCTGTTCATGGAAATGGAAAAGAGCAGCACGTAAGTGTGGAGGTCAAGGGATCACAAAAAAATCTTGACCAGTATTTTTGAAAATGGGGTCTATAAGCATCTATACTGTTTACAGAGGTGGGCCCTGCTGCCATTTATCAAAAAGAAACTGTTTTGAACAAGTCCCCAAATGAGTGTTGCTTCTAATCTGAGTAACTGACAGTCTGTTAGCCTTGGGTTTTCCACTGTGATAGCCACTAATTATATATGGGTACTGACACTTGTAATGTGGCTAGTCTGGATTGAGGTTTGCTTTAAATATAAAGCACTGGCTTTTGAAGCCCTAGTACAGAGAAAAAATGTAAAAGTCCTCAGTAAAAACTTTATTTTGGTGGGGTGCTGGTAGTTTACTCTTGTAATCCTGTCTACTTAGGAGGCAGAGATCAGGTGGGTCATGGTTTGAAGCCAGCCCAGGAAAATAGTTCGTGAGGCCTTAATCTTGAAAAGATCCAACATAAAACAGGGCTGGCAGAGTGGTTCAGGGGGTAGGTTGCCTGCCTAGCAAGCATGAGACCCTGAGTTCAAACTCCAGTACTGCCAAAACAACAAAAAAAAAACCCAAACCTTTTTCTTGATTATATGGTAAAATTATCAGTTTACTTTTTTTGAGATAGGGTCTTGCTATATAGCCCTGCCTAGCCTCAAATTCATAGTCCTCCTGCCTCAGCACCTGAGTGCTAGGATTACAGGTGCCCATCATGCCAGCTTCTTTTGAGTGTAGATTATTGACGTCTGTGAACTTGGAAGGATTGATAATAATCATCTTAATCCAGGTTTTCCCAGAGTTTATAGCAAAACACTGTTCTTATAAAATGCATGATGAAATGGACAGGTCAGTGAACTGGAGCATGTAACAGGTTCAGAGAAATTCTGCAGTTTTATAAAGCTTACTTCACATTATTTAACCCAGAGTTTTGCAAGGTTACTTGACCACAGAATGTTTTTTTCCTCTTATACATGTTTGAGTTTGTTTTCCTTGGAGGGAAGCTGAAATACATTCTTAGTCTTGGACCAGTATTTTTACTAGCATATCACTATTTTCTAGGTCATAATAAACTTTATATTATAACATCTTCTAATTTATGTGTTTGGCTAGTCCACGTTTTTCCATTCTGCATATTTAGTCTTAAGTAGGAACCGATATGAGCTAGTAGTTCATGAGACACTCTGCTTGGGTCTACGCTAGCATCTACTGAATAAAGTGAATTATTAAATTATATCCAGTTCTTCCAGGGAAGTTTTACTTTTCATTTAGCTCTGTATCATTCTACAGACTTGATCTTAATGTTTTCACTTTCAGCTTTTAAGTGCCACATGAATAGAAACCTGTATCGTAATGCTCATCTGATGAGTTTGATATTTGTGTTTGCAGCCTCAAGCTTCGATCTCTCCGCATTAACGTAGGACAGCTCCTTGCTATGATTGTGCCTGATCTTGATCTTCAGCAAGTGAATTACGATGTGGACGTAGTCGATGAGATTCTAGGACAAGTTGTGGAACAAATGAGTGAAATCAGTAGTACTTAAAAGTATGTTTCATGTGAAATAATAAAAGTATTTGCTCAGTTCTTTGGGTTGTACAGTTTTGAAAATGTAAACGATTTTGTTTTACAGGTATGATAGGTAACAGACTGAAGAACCATATCTTTACTATATTCTATGCATCTAAATGTGGTCACAAATATTGTGGACACATTATCATAACTTCTGAAATGCCTGTGAATTGTTGGTATTGAGCAGCTAAATAAATTCTGTTTTGAATGTAAATATTTGTAATTAAACCCACACATATTTTTTTATTGCCCTAGAGACTTAGGTGTTTTTCACCAAGAACTTTTCAAATTGCTCCTAAGGTTTGTGCAATTTTTCTGGTTTCCTAAAGTGTATTTTTCTCAAAATTAGGGCTGTGCCATAACAAAAATGGATATGTTCCAAGATTTTAAGGAAGGTTTGTAACTATTAACACGCCCAGTAAATGTCTGATTATAAGAGAATTAAGCTTAGTGGGGTTTTAGTTGTTTTGTTTTTGTCTTGAGTTTTGTGGGCAGTACTGGGGTTTGAACTCAGGGCCTCGCACTTGGCTAGGCAAGCACTCTACCACTTGAGCCACTCACCCCTAGCCCTTTTTGCTTTAGTTATTTTCTAGGATAGGTTCTAATGGGTTTTTTGTTGTTGTTTTTGTTTTTGCCCTAACTGTCCTCTTAACTGTGATCCTCCTACCTTCACCTCTCCTGTAGCTAGGATTACAGATGTGAGCCCACGCTTGGCAGCATTAGTGTCTCATCTATGAATCCTTCCTTATCTCCTCACTTTTTTTTTTTTTTAATGAAAATAAGGTAAGCAGAAACCGACTCCATTTTGCCTGTACTTTTCTTGTGCTGAGATTGCTAATTATGATTAAACACAAAGTGTTTTATAGGGCAAAGAAACAATCTTTGTATAAAGTATTGAAAATATCAAATGACCACCACATTTACTTTGAAGCCCATTTTGTCTTTTTAGTCAACATGAAGTGGGCATAATAATTATTTCAATATTTCTTTTTGTGAAATTTCTTATACAGCCTTTTGTGGGATTACTACAGGTTAATATGAGTTGAGGAAAACAATGTTTTTTGAATACTTCACACCTTTTATTATATTAGCAAACATAAGTATTTTATATCCTGGAGTTAAACAAAGTGGCCTGGGATTATAGTGTTACATGCCATAAAATATGCTTTTACTGATCCCATGTTTTGTGTAATCTTAAAGAGATAGCTTTCTATTAAGTATATAATTATGTGTATATAATTAAGAATCATATTTTCCACAACTAAAATGTCTATTATTTTTTCCAAAGTTTTATCATTGCTATTTATTTTTACCTTTTGTTTCTGAAAATTCAGTACATACTCATTTTGTATGTATGCTTAATTATACATCTGTCATATATACAATATTGAATTTTTACTGTATATTACCTTCTGAAAAGATCAAATAAATGAAATTTGTTTTTATTTGTTTGGTAAGTAATTGAAAGTGTATTTTTGGTATGAAACTGATTTTCTGTCACAATTGTACTGCCTAAAATTGAAAATACTTTCTAATAAAATAAAAACTTCAGACATTAAATAGTTCAGTAATAACTTTAAATTATTTTTAAACTAAAATATATGTTAGACCCTCAAGTTGATCTCATTTTACTCTTATTAGTTACAAGTTGTATTTTGAACACTAAGGCTGTTTCAGACTTAAGGATGTACTTGTCTTTCTTGAAAAAGTTGTGTGTGTGTGTGTGTGTGTGTGTGTATACCTGCCTTACTCGAGAAGAAACCATTTCTTTGTATAAATCATTTCATTTGGAGAAACATGGCCTAAGCGACAGCATCTATGGAAGTCACAGAAATTTGGTTTGTTGTTTTGTTTTGCGATACTGGGGTTCATACTTGGGGCCTCAAGCTTTGTAGGCAGGCGGTCTAACACTTGAGCCACTCCACCAGCCCAGTTTTGGGAATATTTAAATTGGTGTAGTGCTTCCTTTTGAAATTTGCCACTTTCCCCTTCCCCTGGATTAGCTTCTAAGTTCTTGCAAAAATGTACTTTATATGGCTATTTTCTTGCTTAATGGGAAAATTAATCATAGGATTTGTAGCAACTCCCTTGCTTTAGAAGTATTTATGTATTTTTACCCTTGATAAAATGTTAACAAGATAAAAGACAAAAATGTGGCAAACGAATTTAACAAAACAACATGGGCTTTCATGGTGTATGTTTATAGATTTTTTTTTTTTGTTAAGTTTGTCAAAGGCAAATTTGGAGAGCAGTGTCACTCAACACTTACTCCTGTAAAGCATGAGGAGGTTGGTCACAAGAGTCTGTCTTCTCTGTGAATAGGACTTGATTTAGTCTGACTGTAAAGTCAATGAAAGCTGAATGGTGTGACATCCCTGTGGTTTGAGCCTGATGACACTGTCTGTGACCCATGTTGGTGGGTCTCACCACTAGCCGCGTATTGGAATCATCTTGGGAGTTCTTAAAACTTCAAAGTGAGTCTTACTAAGTCAGAGTTCAGGATCGGCATGGCTGCTAAAGTCTAGAAGATTGTGATTTGAGGATAACTCAGGAAAATAGTTAACAAGACCCTGTCTCCAAAATAACTAGAGCAAAATGGGCTGGAGGTGTGGCTAAAGTAATAGTGCTTACTTTGCAAGCCAAAGCCCTGAGTTCAAACCACAGTCTCATCCTTGCAAAAAAATACTGTGAAAATTAATACGTACCAACATTACTTTCTCAGGCATATCCAAAGTATAAATTCTTCACAGTGAATGTTAATAAAGATCAAAGAGAATGTACATTGTGATATTTAGATACGTGCTTACAATATATCTTAGATTTACCCCCTCCGTGTTCCTCTTCCCCCCTCTCCACTTAGAGCAATTTCACCAGGTTTCATTCTTCTGTTTTCATATGTGGATACAAAACACATTTACCATATACACCTACATTCCCCCTTTACTAGTACCCCCACACTTCCACTGGTACCCACCCCCAGAAAGGATTTATTTTTCCCTCCTGTCCTTTTATTTTAAGCGTATATTGATAGTCCAAGAGGGTTTCCATTTCACCTTGGTACTTCAGGCCTGTATATGTCATGCTTTAATCAAATTGACCCCCACCCCTGGTTACTTAATCATTCTCTACCATGCTAATACTCAACAGCTTACTGTACAATGCATTATATTATAGTCATGCATAAATAGGTCATTTCAATATTTTTTATTCTCTTAACATTTACCTCTCCCACCTCCTGTAATCCCCTCAGAGAGACTCATGTACAGTTTTGTTCTCCATCACTGTATATATGTGTATGTGTATAAATATGTGTATATGTATGTATGATCATATGTTTCTATATATACATTTTAACTTATAGGTCTAGCTACCACATAGGAAAAACATGCAACCTTTTGACTTTTTGAGCCTGGCTTACTTCATTTAACATGAAGTTCTCCAGTTTCACCCATGAGTGTGTACATTTTAATAAGTCTTACCTAAAAAAAGTCACAGGAATTGCACTGAACAATTAATATTGTATGAGTGTTTTTCTTCAAAAAATCTGTATCAAATTTACTTATAGTCTGATAGGAAGAAAATGACAGCTTGCATTTCTTTGTCGCAGGTTGAACATATTTTCCTGTTTTATTGGTCATTTTAATTTTTTTTGCGTTCTACACCATATTTGCCTGCTCTTTACTATTGGGTTCTTTGTCTTAACTGCTATGAAGAAGTTAAAAGCTTGCGTTAATATAGCCACAAATGCTGCTCAACTTCTATTTCAGAAACTCCACAGTAAGCTAAATACTACTTTATACATTACTTCATAAATGGACTCATTGGGGTAGAGTTAGTGTCCTAGTGGATCCTTGGCTCCTGATAGTTGTCTTGGACATTTGATCACAGCTCACAAAAGGAAAGCTATTATCATCTGTTGGGTATAAATACTTTGTTTCTCAAAATTAAATTTCTCTGTTGCAGTAAAGTTCATTTTCATATACCGACTTGTAGGAAGTCAAGACCAGAGGATACAAAGTCTTAGTGAAGTCAAGCCATTTAAATACAGATCAAGTTACTAAGTGAGAATGAATTAACTGTTATATGTTTTCCTACACACACATTCTAATCAATGCAGTTTCCTATCTCAAACATGAAACAAGCCTAGCTTCAAAGTTCAGTGTTTCATTCTGTAAGAGTTAACATGGAACCATTAGAACTACTGAAGAGGAGGTGTGCCTCAAGCTGTAGAACACCTGCATTGTAAGTGTGAAGCCTTGAGTTCAAATCCCAGACCTCACTTTGGCCTACGACTTCTGCATGTCATAGCCCAGCAGACAGGTACTAAAGTCAGGTTCCTGAACTTTTCACTGACAAGTCATTCCCTGTCCAAGGTCTAAATCCTTGACATGATTTAATAAAGGACATCTAAAAGCTACATATCCAAATTACATTATCCTAGCCTCCTGTAAAAACAAAGCTTCAAGGAACACATGAAAGGTACATTTATGGGCAACTTATTCATTTATTTTTTTGTGGCACGGTTTTGAACTCATGGCTTCATGATTGCAAAGCAGGCACTCTACCTCTTGAACCATACCTTCAGTTCATTTTACTCTGGTTATTTTGGAGATGGAGTGTCAAGAATAATTTGCTTGGGCTGGCCTCACACCACAATCCTGATTTCATCCTCCCAAGTAGCTAGGATTATAGGCACTCAGCTTGTGTGCAGTTTCTATACCTTTTACACAACTGGCTGAAACCATCAATCAGTATATGCATATGAGCTCATGCCTCCTTTTTGTAGAGCTGGGATGGAACCCAGGGCCTTGTGAAAGTTAGGCAAAGGCTCTATGTTCCCAGACCCTGAGGTCCATTCTTTTTTTTCCAAGATTGCCAAGAAAACAGCTCCTTAGATGGCCCTGTGCGTTCCTTTTATCCTTTTAAAAGCTGTGCATATGTTTTCTGGTCTAGCAAGCTCAGATAAGTCTCATTTGGAAATTTGTCCAATTTCAAAAGGCCTGCTGTATTTATCTTTGCCTACTAAATAGTTGATACCCTCACTTTAAAAAAGTTAAATTATGTTTTTAAGCAGTGTTTATAACCACATCTGCTAAGGTAGGTGTAATGTAAGCAACACTAGGTACTGAATAATACCGTAGCTTTGAAATCTCCAAAACATTCTAGAATCCTATGTATAAAAAGAGAATCTTCAGTTTTGGGGTGCAAAAGACCTGGTTAAATTCAATGTCATGATGTCCAAAGCTTGTGTACATGTCTCTTTATGTATGTGTAAGTGCATTTGTGTGTGTGTGTGTGTGTGTGTGTGTGTGTGTAGAGGAGAAAGGTAGTCTCTTGGGGGAGGCCACAAGTTGTCTCCCATGAGGCTGCACAGGGAAGCCTTCATTTTGCAAAATCCCTTGGCTTTGATGAGCCAGAAATCTGCTGTTGGTCACGACATGGAGTGTTGATCTGCTAGGGTTCATCTTATCTCAATCAAGTTCCTAGACTATTATGTGCGACTAGAATTCCAGTTTATTTAGAATGAGAGCTAAATTTGCCATTGAAACAGACATGTGCATATGACTTGCTCATTCACATCCACAGACTTGAGAGTCATGGTCCCAGTCCCCATCTCACTGCTGCCTATGACTTTAGCTTCAATTTCCCACCTCCAAAAGTCAGGACTCAGGGCTGCTCATCCAACAAAAACTCTTTATTAACTGAAGGCCACTTTACTGTTTAGGTGGGACTGGGGTTTGAACTCAGAGGCCTCACACTTGCTAGGCAGGTTCTCTGCCACTTGAGCCACTCCACCAGCCTTTTTTTTTTTTTTTTTTTTTTTAATCGGGTTATTTTCAAGATAGGATCTCAGGAACTATTTGCCTAGGCTGGCTTCAAACCGCAATCCTCCTGATCTCTGCCTAATGAGTAGCTAGGATTACAGACGTGAGCCACTGGCGCTGGCCTGAAGACCATCTTAAATGCCACTTCCAGGACCTGGGAGTGTGGCAGAAGTGGTAGAGCACCTGCCTAGCAAGTGCCATAGGCCCCAAGTTCAAACCCCAGTACTGCCAGTTAAAAAAAAATACTAATTAAATGCCACTTCCTCCTCAAACTTTCTTTGAGCCTATCCAAAATCATCATCTTAGAAGTCTAAGTGCATCTTGTTAATTCCTCTCTACGGTTCACTTTTTATTTTTGTTGTAATTATTTGTGTTCAGCACTTAAAGAGGTCAGAAGACAGTTTCTGTTTTATTGACGTTTGAAACTCCAGAATCTAGTGTGGGATCTTTTAGGGGTGACAGCTCTCGACTTACCCTTTGCACCAGTGAATGACATTTTGGTAGTCTAGGGCGGGTCTCAGAGCTGTTTTCCCCCCTGACCTACTAGGAAGGCTCTCCTTTTCCCAGACTAAATTCCCCGGCGGGGAAGCCTGAGTCGGATCACTCACCACTGAGTATAGAGCGGCACAGGATCTAGAATGTCGCAGACGCTCAGTAGACGTTTGCCGAAAGAATAAACTGCTCCATTCTTCCACCCAGGTGTGGGTGCGCAAGAATCAATGAATGGCAGGAGGGGTCCCTGATTGCCACCCACTGGGCAGGGCGGGGCCAGTTCGGGCTCCCGGAATGGGGCGGGCATTCTGGAGTCTCGGCCACTCGAAAGCGAGCGCAGCCATAGCCACGCCCACACGGAGGCGTGGCGGTCTCGGGGTTCCGCCCCCAAGGAGGCGGGACCTGCGGCGCGCGGGAAGCGGAGCGCGGGACGGCGGGAGGTGGCTGCGCTGCTGGTTGACCGCGTCCCCGCAGGTACGGCGTCCCCGGGGTAACCCCCTCACCCTGCGGGTCTCTCGGCCGGGTCGGACCCGACTGCGGCGAAAAGGTGCTCGCCGAGGGTGTGCGGGCGGGCTGGCCTCAGCCGCGCGCGTGAGGGCGACCAGACCTGCCCGGCTGCGGCCCCGCGCGTCCTCCTTCAGCTTAGGCCCCTGCCTGGCTTTCGCGGCCCACAGTGCCCCGTTCCTGAGAAAGGGTCTGCCCCTGCCCCGCAGTCCCAGGCCTCTCGCCGGTGCGGCCCCTTTCCGGGACGACCCCCCCCCGTGACCCCTCCTCCAGGCAGCCCGCTCCCTTCGTGGTGGACCTTCCCCCGAGGCTAGATCCCACCTTCGGCTGTCTGGCGCGACCCCAAGCTCACTAGGCCGGGGTGGCTCGTGCCGCCCGGCCTTGCCTCTGCCTGGGTGTTTCATTTTGCTTTTCTGGATGTAGCAGAATCAAACTTGGGGAAGCCAGGGCTTAAGGAGGCGGTTTAGGTGGAACGTGCAGAGCTGTGGACAGCAGCACCCTCTTCCCAGACTGCAGACATTGCCAGGGGTTAGCAGGGTGCCTGGCTCATGGTAAGCAAGCGCCCAATAAGCCTTTGCTGCTATAATATTGTTACCTAATTCATTACTAGCATTGTGCAGCTTTCCTTTGTCTTTGGAAAAAGAACGCTGTGGGAGGATCATTTTGCCCATCAAGACTCAGGAGGATGAAAGTCATCACGTGTGAAATAGCCTGGCACAACAAGGAGCCCGTGTACAGCCTGGACTTCCAGCCTGCCACCTCCGGGAGGATCCACAGGCTGGCGTCTGCTGGGGTGGACACCGCGGTCAGGGTAAGAGATAGGAAGATACAGGGAACCTACTTGGAGCTGCAGTTTGCGTTCTTTCTGTTTTTGTTTTGTGGTACTGGGGCTTGAACTCAGGGCCTACACCTTAAGCCACTCCACTAGCCCTTTTTGTGTTAAGTATTTTCGAGGTAGGGTCTCAGGAACTATTTGCCCTGGCTGGCTTCCAACCACGATCCTCCTGATCTCCTGAGTAGCTAGGATTACAGGTGTGAGCCACTAATTTTGCATTCTTAATGTCAACAAACTGCGGGAAGTAGGGGAATAAAGGAGAATGATGGAGGGGGTGAATTCAAGTATAATATATTGTAAGAACTTTTGTAAATGCCAGTGTACCCCCAGCACAATACAAAAAATAAAATTTACAGTTTCAGAAAAAAAAAAACAAAACACTTTGCCTACTTTCCATCCAGGCCAGAATGTAAAATTCTCACGACCTGGAATGATCAATGAAAGCAGAAGACAGTGCTTTGCTTTCTTTTCTTTCTAAGGGGGCAGTACTGGGGTTTGAATGCAGGGTCTTGCTCTTACTAGGCAGGTACTCTATGACTTGAGTCATAGAGTATTTGTAGTATGTGGTAATGTTCCCTGTTGCAACTGAGTGCCCATCATTTTAGAATACTGAGGTGGGTTCCTGTGATATAACCATTTGCTCTAGAAAGAAGTGGAAGGGAGGACAGCAGACAGTGGTACTGTTGGTTTGTGTTTTAGATAGAGGTTCCTTCACTTTATGTTTCCAAATGAAAATTAAATTTTCTTCTTGAAAACAAGCATGGAATTGTTTATTACAGATAAGATAGTAAGTGTTCACTGTACATTTTTCTAGTAATTGTTTTGGTATCAACAGATCTGGAAGGTAGAAAAAGGACCAGATGGAAAAGCCATCGTGGAATTTTTGTCCAATCTTGTTCGTCACACCAAAGCTGTCAATGTGGTGCGTTTTTCTCCAGCTGGGGAATTCTAGCATCAGGAGGAGATGGTGAGTATTGTTCAGACTTCAGTAATCCTTTAGAAACCTGATACCTGTATGTTTCATGACAGACAATGAGATTCGAGCTGAGTATGATGATACATGCCTGTGATCCCAGCACTGGGAGGAGGTGGGTAGTGTGAGGCATGAGGAACATGATTTCAAGGCCCGCCTGGGCTACCTTGAATTAAAAAAAAAAACAAAAAACTCGAATTGTGAGATTTGAGCTGAATATGCTTATTTACTTTAGATACCATTGCCTATAGTCTGCCATTTAGATAGTTTAGTAAAATCACATTGTGGGGAGTGTGTCAGAGGGAGGCAGTAAAGGACAGTAAAGTTGAAAACAACTCCTTCCCCACTTGCTCCCTCTAGGCTGGCTTGGGGTCAGTTAGAAAGGCTCACCGTTTTGCTAGAGTCCCAAGCCAATGGTTCTGGCCTTGTTTGTTAGTTTAATATCTGTAGTGCTCAGAGTGAGTTCTGTGTCTCTATGTAATTAATTAATTGGCTTTAGGAATGTCTTTAGTAAATGGCCTTGTAATTTGTGCTTGTTTGTTGGAAGTAGATGATTCACATTTTCTGCCTGTGCTTAAATGAGAAAAAACTATACAGAAAAAGTAAACCTTTAAGGCTGGGGGTGTGGCTTAGGGGTACAGCACCTGCCTAGCAAGCAAGAGCCCTGAGTTTAAATACCAGTACCACCACCACCACCAAAAAAAGTAAACCTTTATACTATACTTTAAAATAGTTGAGAAAATGGTATAAAATAAAACAAATCTCAGTTTTTGTTTGGAGAAGAAGGAAGAGAGACCTGGTTGAGTTCAGTGCCATGACGCCCAGAGTGTGGCGTGTGTGTGTGTGTGTGTGTGTGTGTGCGTGCAAGTATGTGTTTACAGGGAGAGGTGGTGAGTGGAAGCTCCCAGAGGGAAGCCATAAGCTGTTTCCTATGAGGTTGTGCAGGACAGCTCTCATATGGTAGTCCTTTGGCCTTGAAGGCCCAGATACCTGCCCTTCGTGAGCATGTGGAGAGTGTTTGTCACCTTGTCCAAGCTCAGGTGAATGTGTGCAACCAGAATTCCAGTTAATTCTGAGTGGGAGACTCAGGTCCATGCATCCTGCTCATTCATTCACTCTCCTCCTGTGGGCATTCTAAAAGGGAAGGCAAGTCATGCTTATGTGGTAAGTGGAGAGCTGGAGTGTGAGAAGTGTCAGACTCAGACCTTTGCCAACATCAGGCTTAAGTTTCTGCTGCATCCATAATGATATTAAGAGCTAACAGTAATGGGGCTTACCATGTGCCAGGTGCCACACTGCAGTTGCTCTGTGTATACTCGTCCATTTAATCCTCATAAGAGCATGATGGAATAGGTATACCACATCCCCGTTTTACAGTAAGAAAACTGAGGCATCAGGATGTTCAAAGGCTTGCCGAAGGTCGCACAGACAAAGTGCTATCCTTGCATTGGTGGCTCTTTACTCCCTCCCCCCTTCTTTTTTCTATTCAGCTATTTATAGGTTACTGCTTTATATTTGTTAATGCAGTCTTTGCAGTGGCATTTTGATGGCTTGGGGACCCTTCTGTTTAAGGTAACTCTGTATATCTGATTTGTTATGAGTTAGAATTTTTGGCGTTTTAGTTCATAAGGCACATCTACTTTTTCTGTCCAAATTTGTAGAATTTGTCATAGTTGTCATTGAATGACATAAATATAGCACTAAAAATCCAGAAATGAAGGATTGTGCAGTGAAGCATGGTTTATTTTTAATTGAACCACTCCACAGATGCTGTCATCCTGTTGTGGAAGGTGAACGATAACAAAGAGCCAGAACAGATTGCTTTTCAGGATGAGGATGAGGCTCAACTGAATAAAGAGAACTGGACTGTTGTTAAAACCCTGAGGTAACCTAGGGAAGGACTGTGGGAGTGATTTATCTCTACAGCCTGAATGCTGTACATGGGATATGCCTTTGGGGCTTTGTATCTTTAGTTGTTTGTTTCTTGAGACAGGATCTTACAGCCCATGCTGGCCTCCAACTTGCCATCCTCCTTCCTACCTTTTCCTCCTGAGTGTTGGGATTATAGACATGCACCACACCTGGCTTTTAGTTTAGTTTAGTTTTGTTTTGTTGAGGCAGTGTCTCACTATGTAGCCTAGACAGCTTCAAACTCACAGTCCTCCGACCTCCGCCTCCTGAATGTTGAGATTACAGATGTGTGTCACCATGCCCAACTTTGATCTTTATAGCTAACTTAAACTTTTACTTATGTCAGATAAGACAATAAAGAATAAAAATATGATTAAATGGATTTTCTTACTAGCGGATATAAAATTTTTCTCAATAAAATTGAATCAAAATTTTTTTTTTGCGGAACGTCAGTGGCTCACTACTCAGGAGGCAGAGATCTGGAGAATCGTGGTGCAAAGTAGCCCAGGAAATAGTTCGTGAGATCCCATCTTGAAAATGCCCAACACAAAAAAGGGCTGGTAGAGTGGCTCAAGTGGTAGCTCCTGCCTATCAACTGTGAGGCCCTGAGTTCAAACCCTATTACCACTAATATATATATTTTTCATTTTTGAAACAGGGTCTTGCTGTGTAGGCCAAACTGGCCTTGAACTGCCCTTCCTCCTGCCTCAGCCTGCTGGGATTATGTCTGTGCACCACCAAGTGCAGCTCAAAATGAATCCATTTTAAAGATAGAAATATCCTTGAAAGTAGTTCATAGCTAGGGCAAATATAGTTCTGGTGGAGATTTTTAGAGTCTCATTTAATGTATGTTGTGGAGTTTACCTTTAAATTTTTTATTTTTTTCCTTTTGAGAGAATAATTTTTTTCCTCTGTCCTTTCTGGCTTCTAGGGGCCACTTAGAAGATGTATATGATATTTGCTGGGCAGCTGATGGGAATTTAATGGCTTCTGCCTCTGTGGATAACACAGCTATCATATGGGATGTCAGTAAAGGTAAGTGAAATGTTTTCATTATTGAAAGAAGGAATATTCTAAGCATATACAAAAGCCTAACCAGTTTTATTTTCAAGAGCAGCATGAAAAATTTCTTTAGTGAACTGAAGTAGATGGTTGGCCTACCAAGAAAGAAATTGTTCCCATATGCCATGGATCCAATTCAGTTTTCCTGGCCCTAGTCAGAATGTAGGAGGCTTAGCAGTGGTGTTGAAAGTTATTGGTGCCTAGGAGAGGCAAATTCTACATGCATGCTCGGGGGTGCAGACATGAGGGTGACAAGCACAGAGCTTAGCATTCAGTCATTTATAATTAACATGGCATTGTGTGCTAGTTGATGGGAGGTGGGATTGGATTTTCATTTTAGGAAATCAAGGCAAACTGGAGACATTCCCACTACCTTTGAAGAAACTGCTCTCTAGTGAGGGAGATAGGAGCCATGTGAGAAGTTGCAGAGTTGTATAAGCTACTATTGGCTCATTCCTAATCATTTTTATTTCTTGCAGTCCTTCATTTAAGCTTTTTTCTTCCACATCTCCTCCTGTACTCTTATCTAATGTGTTGACGACTCATTGTCTTGCAAATCAAGTGTCCAGCCAGGGAGTCAGGAAGTGGCACTGGTATTTGCTATCACTTCAGCACTACATCAGTTTAGTTTTCATCCTAAAAATCTCTGTTCTTTTTAGTTGTGTGCCATCCAGCTAAGATGTCCTCTATCTTGTCTCTTCTCTGTTATCCTGTTTCTAATGAATACCCAACATTCTGGCAAATTGAAGGACCATTGCCACTGTTTTCTTGTCTGCCCCAAATCTGTCTATTGTCCTGCATTATTTCAGAGTCTGTGAGGCCAATCCATTCAGTATTCCCCTGAGCCAGTTGCAGTGACCTTAAACATTGCCAGTGTGCTGGGCAGTACTGCATGCTGGAAAGGAGGAATGAAATGGCTACATTGTAGTGGGGATGTCAGGCAAACACACAAACTGATATAATGGGTTGTAGTGGTGATAGGTGCTGTGTGAAAGAGCTATTCCAACCACTTGAAGTTTGAACAGAGACGTGAATGTTTGAAGGAGCAACCTGGGTGCATTATTTAGGGGAACAGCAAGAACAGAAGCCCTGTGGTGGAAGTTCTTTCAAAATCTAATGAATAGGATGAAATAAACAAGAGGAGGATGGCAGCAACAGATGTTGGAGGGGTGAGAGACAGGTCACATACAGTTGTGGACCCTCGAAAGGATTTTAGATTTTATCCAAAGTCTGTCTGGATGTCTCAGAAATGTTTTGTTTGTGTTTTAAAAAGATGTTCCCGGGTAGCACATGGCAAATAGACTGCAGGAGAAGCCAGGTAGAAGGGAGCCTGCTGGCAGTGTGGAAGTGATTCAGGGGAAAGAGAATAGTGGCATTGGCTAGGCATAGCAGTGGGATGAACTGGTGAAGAAAGGTTTGCTTAGGATACAGTTTGAAGAAAGAGCTGGCAGAACTTGCTAGTGGATTTGCTGTAACGCTAAGCTTTTTGGCAACCAATATTGATGCCAGTTCTGAAATCAGGGTACTGAGGGGAGGAACAGTTCTGAAATCAGGGTACTGAGGGGAGGAACAGTTCTGAAATCAGGGTACTGAGGGGAGGAACAGTTCTGAAATCAGGGTACTGAGGGGGGAACAGTTCTGAAATCAGGGTACTGAGGGGAGGAACAGTTCTGAAATCAGGGTACTGAGGGGAGGAACAGTTCTGAAATCAGGGTACTGAGGGGAGGAACAGTTCTGGAATCAGGGTACTGAGGGGAGGAACAGTTCTGGAATCAGGGTACTGAGGGGAGGAACAGTTCTGAAATCAGGGTACTGAGGGGAGGAACAGTTCTGAAATCAGGGTACTGAGGGGAGGAACAGTTCTGAAATCAGGGTACTGAGGGGAGGAACAGTTCTGAAATCAGGGTACTGAGGGGAGGAACAGTTCTGGAATCAGGGTACTGAGGGAGGAACAGTTCTGAAATCAGGGTACTGAGGGAGGAACAGTTTCTGAAATCAGGGTACTGAGGGAGGAACAGTTCTGAAATCAGGGTACTGAGGGGAGGAACAGTTCTGGAATCAGGGTACTGAGGGGAGGAACAGTTCTGGAATCAGGGTACTGAGGGGAGGAACAGTTCTGAAATCAGGGTACTGAGGGGAGGAACAGTTCTGGCAGGGAGGCTAAAATCTGGAGCACATCCTAGACCTCCGACATTCAGCTGTCTGTCAGTTCAACCTCAGCCAGTGTCCCACTCTCACCAAAACATTTTCTGATTTTCTGAACATTAACTGTTCATCAGAGCTTTGTTCCCCAGAATGCTCAAGTCCCTGATCCCTCTGTTTCCTGGTCCGTCAGCCTCCCCTGGCTTCTGCTGTTTTTTTCTGCCCAGGTTGCTCCCCAGTGTGGCTCTATACCAGCAGGGTCACTAGCAGTTTTCAGATACTTATTACTGCATTGCACACTAAGCTCAGCTGTCATAGACTATCCTTCCTCTCCCCTTACATTTCTTCATACCCCTTCATTCTGCCATACCTGGAGAACTACATTTAGGTCTTCCTGATGCTCATGCCTGCCTCCTTCTCTGACCCACATAAGGTTATGCTCATCCGTAAATGGTCTGTCTCTCTACTCTGTGAGCTTCTTGAGGGCAGGACTGTGCAGAATTGTCTTTGGATTCCCAGAGCCTGACACAGGGTTTGGCACAGAGCTCCTCCATCACTGCCCACTGAATGAGGGATGAAACAAAGGGAGTAACATTTAAGTCACAGGTTATACAGTTTGTACCTGAGTAGGCTTTTGATAATGCTTTTGTGTGCTTTTTTTTGTAGGACAAAAGATTTCAATTTTTAATGAACATAAAAGTTATGTACAAGGAGTAACCTGGGATCCTTTGGGTCAGTATGTTGCTACTCTGAGTTGTGACAGGTGTGTATTGGCAAGTTGTGCTCATATTATTGGATTTTTTTTTTTTGTGACCCTGGAGTGTGCACTCAGGGCTTCACACTTGCTGGGCAGGTGCTCTACCACTTGAGCTACACTTCCAGCCCTTACTTGATTTTTTTTTCAGAGCTATATGTATCACAACTTCACCAAGATTAATTATAATCCAACTCTGATTCTTTTGTTCTTATTTCCATACTCTTATTCTTACAACATAATAAGAAACTGGAAACTAATTAGGGTAGGTGCCTTACGCAGAGTTAGTACTAAGTGGGGTGAATGCATGTAGGAAAAGTTTCCAAACATTAAAAAAAATGTTTAATTACATTTAATTTTACAGGAGACAGTAAAAGAAAAGGTAGTGGGAGGGTTGGAGTGTTAATTTTACTTTTTTCTTTTAGGGTGCTGGTGATTGAACCTAGGGCCTCATATTAAGCAAGGGCTCTTCCCCTAAGCTACACCCCAGCTCATTTATCTCATTTTTTGATAAGTTTGCTAATACAGGGATTTTTAATGACTCCATTTCAATTGATATAAAAATAAAATGCTTTTGTCCTTTTTGAAGGACGTCTTTGCTGTGTTTTTGGTGTAATTGCATTAATTGTATAATTGCATTTTTAACTCTTTCTTAGAACAAAGAGTAAAACAAAAAAAAAAATCAGGGATTCCAGGTACATTATTTAACAAAATAATCCTCTCAAATATCCAATTACTTTTCAGTACTTTTTTTTTTTTGGTAGTACAGGGCTTTGTGTTTGTTTGTTTTTTTAAGCATTACTGAGGTTTGAATTCAGGGCTTTGTGTTTACGAGGCAGGCATTTGACCATTTGAGCCATTTCTCCATCCCTTCAAATATCCAATTACTTTTAATTAAAAAATTGAATTTATAACTCTGGAATAAAAGCAACATTTAAGAGCGTTTATTTTTCATAGAACTTTCTTATAAATGGCCATTTTTTTTCTGATATTTGCATTTTGTGCAGGCAATCAGAAGTAAAACAGTTTGGTTACGGGAATCATATGATTTTGCAGGGTGTTTTCCTTACTCTGGTTAATTCCTGAGAACAAGACTGTTCAACACAAACAAACCACATTGTAAGTCATACAAATTACCACTGGGCCAAATGTCTTAAATCTTGAAAAATAAGACTGGGCCTATGATATGTCTTATTTGAGAAATTGAGATATTCATTGAAAAATAAATCTGTAGAAAATAAAATAGTGATGTATTTCCCCACTGCGGTATCCTTTAGGTTGTTAATATTTGCTTTTGCCATAATTTATCAGTTAAATGTGAACATAATTAGTAATGGTTCTGTAGGCTGAAAATTGTTTGGGTGGTCATAGACTGGTTTAGATTATTTCTGTGAGAAGCATAATTCATTTACTAGAAGAGGAAAATCAGACTTGTGTTCTTTCTTCAGGGTGCTGCGGGTGTATAGCACACAGAAGAAACGTGTGGCTTTTAATGTTTCAAAGATGCTGTCTGGAATAGGGGCCGAAGGAGAGGTATAAAAATATTTTGACATTCCCTTTCAGAAGTACTTTAAATGAGTCTTGGGAAGTCATGAGGCCCTCCCATACCCTTGCAGCTGAATCACTAGTCTCAAAGACCCAACACCTGCACTAACTACAATAAGGTTTTCTCTTGGACCATCAAGTCTTAGTGTGGGGGTGCTGGTTAGTGTGGAAATAGGGATATCTGGAGGCAGGGGAGAGATGTTGATGGACAATAGTGGTTTCCAACACAGGCTACACTGTGGAATCACCTGGGTGCCTGAGTACCATACTCTAGTGATTCCCTTGGCTCGAGATAGGCAGGGCGTCCATGATTCTGAGGTATAGTAAGGGTTGATCACTACTGATCTGGTTGCTCACTAGACAACAGAAGACAGGTGGGTCAAGCCAGTGGAGAGTTCAGGTAGTAGACAGCAGACACCCAGCCACAGGGTTGGTATTTAGGAAAATGAAGGATCTGAAAGAACTGACAAATGTGAATAGAGACTACTAAGGCAGACACTTAGGTGAAGGGGGGAAAGTCAGCCACTGGAGCAACAAGAGACTTTGTGCGTACCGAGCTCTATGGCACCAAGGTAAGGCAGGGTGTGCTGAAAGAGCACACCTGTAAAGGATGGATAACAACGCCTACTTCCTGTAGATTAGTGAGAATTGAATGTTAAGTGTTTATATATAAAGTATCAATAAATGTTACCAAAGGCTGTCCCACACAGATGTTCAAGAAATGTAAAAAGCAGGTCTTCCTGCTGCTCCCCAGACAGACCACTGTTGACCATGTGGTATATGTTCTTACAGAGTTTTTAAAAAAATTATACAACCACCAAATATACACATACAGACACATTCATATACACTCATTCTGCCTTAACAAAAATGGGTGGTTGGTTCTCATGAATGTTTACTTTTGTTTTTGTTTTTATGGTACTGAGGGTTGAACTCAGGCCTTCCACTTGCTAGGCAGGCGCTCTATCACTGGAGCCACTCCACCAGCCCACGAATGATTATTTTTGCAGGCTTACATGATTACTTGGTTTGCAATATGTTTCTGTTTCATTTATTATATCAATAATAAATAGTAAGCCTTTATTGTGAATGGGAAGATTTGGAATGACTTTTTTTAACTTTGTATGCCACAGGCAAGAAGTTACCGGATGTTTCATGATGACAGCATGAAGTCATTCTTTCGTAGACTCAGCTTTACTCCTGATGGGTCTTTGCTCCTTACACCAGGTGCGCTTAGCAGGATTTGATTTAAGAGTGTGAAGGCACATGGGGCTGTCCCCTCCTCCCATTTTGCCATCTTTTTAGCTCAGTCAAGTTTGATCAGAGCAGTGGTCCCCAACTTGTCTGCACACTGGAACCTCCAGAGGAGCTGCCTGTGTTCTCAGTGATAGTGTTTAGTTGGTCTGGAGTGGTGCCATGGCTTTTGAAATTTTAAAGATTTCCTGATGATTCTGATGTTCAGACAAGTTTGGGAGTCACAAGACTAAAATGACATATTTTATCTTAGATAAATTTTACTTTAAACAATTAACTATTTATGTTCAGGTAATTAAGAAGGCATAATATAAAACATTATTGTGTAAAAACAAAAAGAAAAATAAAACCAAGGGGAAAAAAAGAAAATTTACTATTTCAACCTTTTTTTCCTATTTTTTCGAGACAGGGTCTTACTATATAGCCCAAGCTGACCTCAACCTCAAAATCCTTCTGTTTCAGCCTCTAAAGTGTTGGAATTACAGTTGTGCACCACCACACCTGGCTACTATTTAAACATTTTAATAAATTCATTTTCACTAGACATGTAGTGGAAGTTATAGTTCTAAAGCCAAAGATAAAGTGTCTTTTCTTATTCTTAATAACCAAGCAGTCTTTTGGGACAGGGTTGTGAAGGGACAAACTTGATTGCACTAACCTGCAGGAATGGTCAAAAGTCAGCAAAGAAAAGGCAGGTTCATTGTCTCTAGGAAGGCAAGAGGTTAAGCCAAGCAAGTCAGGCTAGGCAGCATTATGGCCAGATTGTTCTCAAAAAAGAGTGTGTGCTAATCTCTGGCTTGAAGACTATTTTGTGCATAAGGAAGGCTACATTGTGCAGGGTAGGGTCAAATTTGCCACTAAGGGTCCCAGGTAGGCTGGCAGAGAGGGCCCAAGAAAGACACAAATGATCCCTGCTTATGTGGATGAGGCTGTAAAGAACATCAAGGAGCATGTAGGAAATGACCATGTCCCAAGGAGGCTCCAGGCCAAAAATAAGTAGTTGCTTACATTATTTACTAAAGATTTTTGCTGAAAGGTTTTTATTAAAAGTTATTTACTAGACTAATTAAAACAAATCCAATACTAAATGGCCACTCTAAAAATATTTTTAGTTAAAATCAGGTACCAGCTGGGTGTCTGCTGTCACCATTGTTATTTGTGGTGCTAATAAATGTAGGAAACAGGAAAATGAATTCACCAACATTAGAAGAGAGAGACTTTTTCTGCCCATTATAGGATTGTACTTGTAGAAAATCTAAGAGATTTAGAAGATGCTATCAGAACTACAAAACAGAGGCGGGAATGTAGCTCAGTGGTGGAGTGCTTGTCTAGCCTAGTATGTGCAAGGCTCTGGCTGAGTCCCAGAGTTCAGCGTAACAAAGGAAAAAGTTTACAAAAAAGAGTTTGATAAGGTGGTAGCTAGATATTGTAAAATATAAAAAATTCTGAATCTTCTTTCTGCAACAGTTCAAGAAAGGGAAAGAGGAAAAATATTCCATTGTGGCGGTAGTGCAGCTTAGTGAAAAGTACATTCTTAGTTAGCATGCATGTTACCTTGGATTCAGTCCATTCTTAGTTAGCAAGCGAGGGACCTTGGACTCAGTCCCAGCACTGGGAAGAAAAAACACCCGCTAAACAAGTGAAAGTGAATTTAATAAGAAAGACAAAGCCTTTTTGAAAAATTCTAGAAGGTATTATTATTATCATCGTCATTATTATTATTATTATTATTTTGGTGGTTCTGTGGTTTGAACTCAGGGCCTTTTACTAAGCAGTCACTCTACCATTTGAGCTGTGCCCCTAGCCGCAAAGGTTTTGTTATTGAAAGTTATGAAACAAATTTTGAACAAATAGAAAAATACATCGTGTTCTGAAAGTTAGCATACCAAATCGATTTCCAATTACAGTCCCGTTAGAGACTTCTTCTTTTAAATTACATGAAATCTTAGTTCCGTTTTTTTTTTTTTTTTTTTTTTGGTGAGACAGGATAGCCCAGGTTGCCTTGGAACACACTAGGTAGCCCAGGCTGGCCTTGAACTCAGGATCCTCCTGGCTCAACCTCCGTGTAGTGAGATTGCAGGCATGTGCCAGCACTCCTGGCAAAAAAGGAATAAATCCTCAGCATTTATTCTACTAAGAAAACATGAGGAAAGATGGGGCGGGGGAAGAAGGTATTTGCCTAACCAGATATTAGGAGATATCTGATATTACTGTTAACAAATCAATATAGTATTGATGATCTGGGGCTAAACTTATAGACTAGTGGACCAGAACAGAGAATGCAGAAATAGATTTCAGAATATAAGCGAATTTAATATATGACCTTAAGTGGTATTTCAGTGGGAAGAATATATTTTCAAATGAGTGGTACTAGAGTAGTCAGCTATATGGAAGAGAATAAAATTGGATCCCTAGCTTATATAGAAAAAATAAATTCCAAATGAATTCAGTACTTAAATATAGATATAAAAACATAACACTCTTGCAAAAAATCTAGGGATCCATTCTAGGGAACAGAGAAGACCTAACTAAGAGGAAAGTCAGGCATTCTTACAGAAATGACAGGCCTGCTTGTATTTGAATGCAGAACTTTCATTTTGCAAAAGATGCAACAGCCTGAGTTGGGAAAATGAGGGAACCAGAAAGTAATACTCATATAATGTCCACTGATTCACTCAAAATTGACAAGAACAACATCAAAAACACAAAGGAAAAGAAAAATGCTGAAGAAAAAATAAGTGGAGGACAAAAAGGCAGTTTGTAGAAGCGCAAACTACTGACACAAGAAAAGGTTCTAAAATCAGTAACAGTGTCATAGCAACTCTGGTGTCCTTATTCTCTTCTGACTGGAAAAAATGAGCAATAGCTATTGCTAATTCTGCTTCATTGCTGCTGGGGTTGCAGATTGTTACAATGTTTTGGAAAGCATTCTGGCAAAGGTTAAATACTAATGCCATCCAATCCATCTGTCCCTGGTCTGAGAGCCAATCCCTTAAGTGTTTGTAAGAGTATATGTCAAGATGTTTATTGCAACCATTTGTTTGTAGTGTTGTAAAACCAGAAGCAAAGCAATAGTTATTAACAGAGGATAGTATTTTTAGACCAGTAAATATCATGTAGCTACTAAAAATAATGTCTTCCTACTCTACAAATCAACTTTCATGAGTTGTTGACTGAGACAAAATAAGGACACCTGTAAATAATACTCCATTTCTTAAAACAAATAGACTGGAAAAACCCACCATATGGGTATATGTGTGATTGAATTATAACTGACTGTAATGATGCTGGGAGGATGGAGAAAATATGAAATGACATGTTGCTTGGTTAAAATGGATTACTTGGGGAGTGGAATGATAGGGTGAGATTGGAAGAGTTATGCAGAAAAGTAAGTTTTTAAAAAAAGAGCATGGTATTGTCTAAACTACTTCCCAGTAGATATGAAATGGTTACATGTAAATTTATATATATGTATATGTGTCAAGAAATGTGATTGTGAAACATGAGTTTCATACACCTGTGTGTTACAGTTTTTCTCTGACAGCTTCTGCTCTGACTTTTAGTACTTCCTGTGTGTCAGATCAGGCTGTTCTCCAGAGCACAGTCAGCTCCTGCTGGAGGATAAGAGGCTCAAGGCTGGGTCAGGCAGAATGGAAATGGTCAGAGTGTCAGCCTTTGGCAGTGCTGGGGTTTGCACTCAGGGCCTTGTGCTTGGTAGGTAGAAGCTCTACTACTTGAGCCACACCTCCAACCAACTCTCAGCCTTTGAATGACAACCAAAGTCTGAATTTAGGGGACAGAGATTCTGAGGTCCTAGGCAAAGCCCTGGCAGGTGGATCTATAACAATACTTCACCAGCAGGATTTGCCTGGATTCTCAAACAATGGGTCTTATAGTAAGGTATCCCTACTTTATGCTCTACCTGCCTCCCAGTTTCCAGAAGGCTGTCAAGCCCTGAGGTAGAGATAACAGGTAGAACAGGAGTAAGGAATGAAACCAGATGATAGAATATTTGTATTTGTCCTCAGTTATAAAAACATTGTCCAGTGAATACCACATTAGGGAAAAAAGTATTTTGCAAACTAGAATTGAAGGCTCTCATGCTTTTTGTGAAACAATTTAATATAGCTTTGACTTTTTTTTCCCCCTATCCCTTCCTCTATTCCCCAGCTGGATGTGTAGAATCTGGTGAAAATGTAATGAATACAACTTATGTTTTCTCCAGGAAAAATCTTAAAAGGTAAGTAATTAAGGAAATATTTGAAAGTTTTGCCCTTTTTTGCTTTTCCTAAGTAATAGTGCTCATTTCTAATCTGTGGTTTATCTTTTAGGCCTATTGCTCATCTTCCATGTCCTGGAAAAGCAACGCTTGCTGTTCGCTGCTGTCCAGTCTACTTTGAATTAAGGCCAGCAGTGAGAACAGGTATCATCAGCACCACAGTGGTGAAGTTATCTTTTCTCTCTGAGGTCTGTCTCCAGTGGGGGTGGGATTTGGATTCTGACTTGTGGGGAAAGATGAGTATGTGGGTTTGGCTTAGTTACTTTTTCTTCCATTTTTTTTGGTGGTGGTACTGGGGTTTGAACTCAGGACCTAACACTTGCTAGACAGGTGGCCTACCACTTGAGCCATATCCTCAGCCCTTTTTTTGCTTTTGTAGTTATTTTTCAGATAGGGTCTTGAATTTTTGCCTAGGACTAACCTAGACCTCAATCCTTTTAGCAATACCTCTAATGCAGCTGAGATTGCAGGTGTGGGTGTTTTTGTTCTTATATTCTTGAGGTTTATTCTGGAATGCAGTTAATTAGAAACATTTTTGATTTTTTTGGGTCTTGCTGACAGTGTTTGGTCAGGGCTAATTGTCTCACTCCTGAATGCTCCAGTGGATGTCCTGTGGATATGAAATGTTCCACCCTAGCCAAGGGAAACACATGGTTTCTGACCTTATGTGAGCTTCAGGGATTATTCCTTCTCTAGTAGATCTTTCTCCACCTCAGGTTGTATCCTCACAGCTCAACAGTGGTCATTACTCAACTGATGACTAAAGAGGGACCTGAAGCTCTCTCTGCAGCTGTGTGTCACTGCCCTATGAACTCTACCTGCCTTGGCCTTCCCCAGCTCCCAGCATTATCTTTTCAACCAGGAGTCTTCTAGGCCCTGCCTGGGTTGTCTGTACTTTTACTGGTCCGGGAACATGCCAGGCAGTAAGCGGAGGCAATAGTAGGACTTAACTTGTTTGTTTCATCTCTCGGAGAACACTGTCCTTCATTGTTGGTAGCCAGTGTCTTGAAAGCTGTCGTTTCATGTATTCTGCCTGGTATTTTAGTTTTTTTCAGGTGCAATGGTAAATCCAATCCCTGTTTTACTCCACAGCTGGAAGCAGAAGCTATTTTACCTTTTTAATCCTTAAATGTAAATGAATATGGTTAACTTGACAGGGCATTAAAACATCACATGATAAATTGTTTCTAAATAAATCTCATTTTTTCATATCAGAAAGTGTCCTCTGAAATTGACTTTTTTTCCTAACTTTTTTGGACCTTAGTGCCCATGATTATAAGTTTTGTAGCATCCTGTTCTCATTGGTCCTGACCTGGTTTTCTTTTTTTCTTTTCTTTTTTTTTTTGTTGTAATGGGGTTTAAAATCAGAGCCTACACCTTGAGCCACTCCATCAGCCCCCTTTTTTGTGATAGGTTTTTCAAGATAGGGTCTCGTGAACTATTTGCCCAGGCTGGCTTTGAACCTCTATCCTCCTAAGTAGGTAGGATTACAGGCGTGAGCCACTGTGCCCGGCTTCTTATGTGGTTTTCTTATTTGTGTAAACATAAGGAACTGAATTCCTTAATAAAGCATATAGTAATATAGTTTGTGTGTGTGTGTCTGTGTATCTGTGTGATTTATGTCCCCCAGGGAAAAGGCTTTTGGATTTTGGAGGGAATTGGTTGTCTCCTTTGTTTACTTTGTTCATCTTCCTCTGCAGAAAAAGCATCTCGAGAGCTGAGCCTGGAGCTGATGAGCCTGCCTTACCGTGTGGTGTTTGCTGTAGCTTCTGAGGACTCTGTGCTGCTCTACGACACTCAGCAGCCTTTCCCTTTTGGCTATGTGTCTAACATCCACTACCACACCCTGAGTGATATTGCATGGTGAGCCACTGGCAGAGAAGGAAAGTGAAGGGGAGGAGGAGTGTGCACTACGCTAAGAAGACCCTTCGGCTAGGAGCCATTTCATTTCCACAGATGGGTTTTGGAGCCCTATTCACCAATTTTTGTAAAGGAGTTCACATTAAAATAGAGGCCGTTTTTGTTTGCCATAGTGTTTGCTTCATAATTTAACAACAGTGGGGTTTGATGCCATTCACATTGCCCTATAGGAGTAATCAAACTCCCATAAACTGGGGAGAGGCCCCAGGGACTCACTAGTCATTTTGAGGACACTTCAGGCCCTCTGGAGGAAGCCTTCACTTGCCGTTCCTCCTGGGGGTATCAGTTGTCGCTCTGCCCTTTCTCTGCCACGTTTTGGTCTCTGTTCAGCTTCCACTGCCTGCTTAGTCCCACCTACACTCTAGTTCAGGCCACTCACCATCTGTTTTTTGCTCTTTATAACTTTTTTCTTTTGATTTCCTTTTTATCTTGGAAAAAGATGCTCTCACCTTTATTCAGGTGAAAGTTGGTAAAGTACAAATAGATTGCTTTGACTTAGGAAATCCAGGTAGGTTTGGGAAATGAAACTGGATGCCTGAGGAGCATGCACAAACTCTGGACCAGTCACAAATCCTAGACTAGTAACGCCTCTTTCTTGACTTTTGCCTTCAAACAAAGTTTGTGATTTTGCTTGACTTTGATTTCCTGTGTACTCATGAAAGTGTATGTGGTCTGTAGACTTCTGAAAAGTCTCTCTTTTCCTTGCTTTGGGAACACAGGTCCAGCGATGGGGCCTTCCTGGCCATTTCTTCCACAGATGGTTATTGTTCATTTGTGACATTTGAGAAAGATGAACTTGGCATACCATTGAAGGAGAAGCCAGTTTTGAGAACTCCTGATACAGCAAAGAAAACTAAGAATCAGACGCACCAAGGGTCTTCGCCAGGACCCAGACCAGTAGATGGAACCCCTACCACCAGAACCCAAGATGCCAGCAGTCCTTGTGCCACTCAGTCACCAGCCACCCAGTCTCCAACTCCAGCATCTGTCAAGGACACTCCTTTGATCACTCCTGGTGTCAAAAACTCCTTGCCAGGGCCTTCAGAGGACAAGACCCTGCAGTCCAGTGGTCAAAACATGAAAACCCATCCATCCCGGAGGGTCACTCTGAACACCTTACAAGCCTGGAGCAAGACCACCCCTCGGTAAGAACATTTGACAAACCAAGAAATTGTTGCAAAATGTACAACCCTAACCTGTTATAGCAAATACCAAGGAGGTCATCTTGCTTATAGACGTCTGCTGGTTCCTCTGGACTTCAGGATATAACTCAGCATTTTCTGGTGGGGTTTTTTGTTTTGTTTTTTGCCAGCACTGGGGTTTGAACTCAGGCCCTTACCCTTGCAAGGCAGGCACTCTTACTGAATGAGCCACTCCACCAGTAAGCCCAGGCTTTTTTGAATGCACAGACTGTGATATGGTTATAGCCTGTCATATAGGACTGTGACCACTCTCTCTCCTAAGTCCCATGTGTCTTAATCTCTAACCCAGCCCTGAGAGTCATGTTTCCAGAGCAAACTGTGTGCTTTGTGGCTTCTGTGCCTGGCCTTCCTTGGGGATGTCCTGGATATGTGCTCCTGTTGGTGACACATCGTCTTCCTGAAAGACCACTTGAATGTGCCTTCTGAGATCCTGGTATTTGCAGCCCTTTAGTCTTCTCTCTGAAGAAACATGCTATATCGCGTGTGTTTTGTTTATGCCCCTTTCTTGTTAGATTATGAGCCCTTTGAGGACAGAAAGTAGGTTCTTATTTTTTTTATCTGTGCTCTCTTGCCCAAGATAGTACCAGGCATTTCCTGATGTGTAGGAAATCAAAGGAGCACAGTGTTAGCTTTTGACACTGTGACATACCTGAGACAATCAACTTAAAAAGAGGAAAGCCTTATTTTGGTTCACTGTATCAGAGGTTTCAGTTCATAGTCACTGCCCATATTGCTTTGGGCCTGTGGCAGCAGTACATGATGGGAGGAGCACATGGTGGAGAAGACTGCTCACTTCATGGTGCCTGGAAACAAACACATGGAGGAAAGGGCCAGGGATCCTATATCCCTTCTAGGGCACGCACTCAGTAACCCAACTTCCTTCCATTAGGTCTGCCCCCTAAAGGTTCTACCACTTTCCAATAGTGTTAACAGGCTGGGGACCAAGCCTCTAACATATGAGCCTTCAGGGTATACTTCTCTAAACTATAGCAAATGCTTTTTAAAAAAATAAAGTTTTATTTTATTTTATTTTATTTATTTATTTATTTATTTATTTATTTTGGTGGTACTGGGCTTCAAACTGAGGGACTTATGCTTGCTAGGCAGGTGTTCTACCCCTTGAGCCACACCCAGCCCTTCATTTTATTTTTGATGGTACATAATAATTGTACATTTGTATGGGTATAATGTGATGTATGTAAACATTGTATAGCAAATAAGGATACTAGCATTTCCATCCCCTTAGACACTTAGCATCTTTTTGTGGAGAGAACATTCAGAGATCAACTTTTTAAAAAAAATTGCACATATAGGAGAGACTGTGCAGTTCTTGTCTTTCTGTGCTTGCTTCTTTTATTTAGCATGCCCTCCAGCTTATCCATGATGTCACAGATGAGAGGATTCCCTCCTTTTTTGTGGCTGAATAGAATTCTATGTGCATACGGCCCATCTTTCTGAGCTGCCTGGTCATAAGGAACAGGACAGCCTGATCTGACGTCTCCCAGGTGGTGAACGTGGGTCTGTGTCTGCTTTTCCTGCTGCAGACAAGAGGTGCTGCTCATGTCCTTCTGTCATCAGGTAGCATTAGCCCTCTGTTTTCCTTCCTTCCCTTGCACCTCTAATGTCCAATGACCCCTCTGACTGCACTTCCTGCTCTTCACTCTTCCTTTTCACCTTCCAGATTGACCATGTGGGGAAAGGGATGTAGGCAGGTGTAGACTGGTAAGTTACGGTAGGAGAAACCTGTGCTTCTCAGTTCATAATATGGTCCAAGTGTAGTGTTTGACTCTTTAAACTCCAATTTCTACAGAATAGCAGTGTATTTTTAAATATTTTATTTATTCTTAGGTGGGAAAGGTATTCTTTGAAATATTTTGGGTGTTAAATTGCTATTCCTTTTGACTTCTTCTAAACCATTTACCAAGTTTCTTACAGTTGTAATTTTTTTTTAAATAATACTTGTTGAAAATTAAGATTCTAGATTAAAAAAAAAGAGTTATCTGTGTGTTGGCACTTTTCATACATAGAAACCATGTCTACTAGCCTTGTGTATATCACTTTCAGCAAGGTATTCAGTAGGCCATTGTTAATGAACAGAACCCAGCTTTTGAAACTTTTAGATGACTGGGTGTGGTTTTAGTTGACTGTTATAAATGCGATAGTCAAACTTAGTACATGAATGTAGTTCTTTCTAAATAAGGGAGCACATCACTGTATTAATGCCTGACATGATACAATCAGCTGAAATTTTTTAAGTATTTTCTTTGGTGGTTTTGAAACTTCATTTCATACATAAACATTCCTTTGACACTAACGAGCCGTGCACCCCTTTACTTTTTTTAATCAAGGAGAATAAACTTAATACCCTTAAAGACAGATACTCCACCAAATTCTGTACCAACCAGCATAGTTTCTGCCTCTTCCACAGAAGAAATTGAATCAGGTAAGTAATATTGTTACAGGTTTGGTGTAATTACAGATAAAATATTTTCCCTTTTGTTCTTTTGGAAATTCACAGCACTTAATTTTAAGTCAGTTCTGAAAGCACAGATCATCTTGTACACTTAATGGCTACTTGTTTATGTCTCAGCAATGAGTAAAGAAATCCCTTTACTCACTTGAGTGGGTTCAATACGAATGGGATTCTTGACAGTCACTGATGTTTGGGCCAGATAATACTTCATTTTGGGGAGCTGTTTTGTGTATTGTGGGATGTTTAGTACCATCCCCAGATGCTAGCCTTTCCCCCATGAAATTCTCAAATGTCATCGTCCTTTGATAGGCAAAGTCACACCTGGTATAGAGCCAGTGGTATAGATCCTTTCATTGTAGCAGTATAGGATCTTGCCAGGCAGTTCAGTTCCTTATTGTGGGTGTATATTTTGTGTTATCTCCTAATGTACGGAAGTCTTCATTTACTTGTTCACTTTATTACATTTGTTAATGTTTCAGAGATGCCTGAAGATCCCCAGGGCAATCCTCCAGAACTAAAACGGCCCAGATTTGAGGAAAACAAAGGAGGCACCCAAAGCCTGGACCCCTGATGGGACTTTGACTTGTACCTGAGGCCTGCCAGCTCTGGCACTCCTATATGTGTAGGGAGGGAGGCCAAAGATTCTCATGGCCAGTGACATCATTGTGGAGCAGACACTCATAAATTGATTTGTGACAGGAAAAAAACACGTGTACTGTGTTCTTGTATTCAGTATCCATTTCAGCTTGGGGATGGTAGATATTGTAATAGACTAAATCTTCCTTTTGATGAGTTTCTAAAACTAGAGCAGTTCAGTATTATCTAGTAGAAAATCAGTAAATCCTCCCTTGTAACACTTGTGAAAGTGCAGATACTTCCTGGGTGGACTCCCTTTTAAAATTATAATTAAAAAGAGGAGAAGGTAATTTGAGAAGACTTATGCTGTTGAATTTTAAAATGTTTGAAGTGACAGATGTAGCTTCTAATTGATTGGTTAAACTTTGGAAGTTTGTTGTGTTTTTATGGTATTTGTTTATTTATTTTACAATACTGAGGATTGAACTAAGGGCCTTGTGCTTGCCAAGCAGGCACTCTACCACTCAACTCACACCTTTAGCCCTTGTTTTCTGATTTTTAAGGTAATGCTCATTCTGGAAAGTTAGTAAACTGAAATACAGTAGAAAAAGTTGTGTGTAGGAGTGGGCTGTGGGAATCACATGATCTTACCACTAGAAGAAATCCTCATTGATGTGTATTTCCTTAGCTTTTTTTTTTGTTTTCAAAGGAGCTGAGACTTTCATCTCAGATACAATTTATATCTGAATAGGTTACTTTTTAGATCAGCTTTTCAAAGCAAAAAAAACCCAATCTTAGCAATATACATCTGTATTTTTGCTATGTTTTGGCCCCAGGAAGATCAGATGTTCTCTTTTTCTACTAGGAGTAATGGTGAGAGCTATGGGCTGGGTCTGTGACACTGATGAAGGCAGTCACATGGTCTGGAGCCCCGTCAGCTCAGAAGGTCCTGGGTGGTTTAGTCGAGAGGTGTTTAGTTGTCCATTGGCAGCTGGGTTAAACCCCAGTCTAGAAGCTGGTGCAGCTGCCTTCCCTTTAATAGAGCTGTTCAGTGTCTGTCACTTTGAACATGATAACCCATGTGGACAAGGGCAATAAATCTGGGGCTTCCTTCCATCGCCGTAACAGATCAGAGTGAAATCTGGAAAAGATGGAATAGGCCAAGGAAGTGGAAAATGCACTTTTTAATTTGGTCAACAGCAACAAAGAGAATATCGGAAAGAAGCACCAGTGGTTTTATCTGTGCTTTAGTGAACCAGAGGGAGAGATCGCCTTGCTTTTCGATGGGAAGAAGATAAACTAGGAACCGTTTACAATGTAGACAACTGAAAGTTAAATCCGTGCATACTTGTAGAAATGTAGGTGAATCATTCCAAATGAAAAGTTTTTTTTTTTTTTTCAATTTTTGCTGTACTGGGAGTACATTGTGACATCATTTTATAAAAGTTCTTACATCATAAGTTAAATTCACCCCCTCCATCATTCTCCAAAACAAAAGGTTTTAACATGTCAAACATAGTATCTATTTTGAACAGTAGTTCTCAACTTTAGCTTTACATTGAAGTCATCCCAAAAGCTAGCAAACACACTGATACCTGATCCCTCCCAGAAGATCAAACCTGGTTAATCTGGTTTGTGGTCTGAAGTTTTTAAAGCTCCTTGAGTAATTCTAATGCACAGCCAAGACAAATCTCAAGGGAAAAAGCTGTTCCCAGATACGGTCTGTCCTGGTTAAGTGCATTTCCAACAAGACATTTTTCTTGATGATCTCTTTTCCATCACTGATTGACATGAAAACACCTCCTTGATCATGCTCCCAGATTGAAAGACAGTACGGAGGTGCCGCCTGCTTTTCTGAGGAAAGACAGTTTCAAACTTCATGCTGCTGGCGTGAGGTATAGCTTATAGCCCTTAATCTCTGTGCAAACAGATGAGTGATTGTGGGTCACTGTTCCAGTGAGTGGCCTGCTTCCTGGCCACACCTAGGGCAGGAACTGTGTTAGGTTTTACAAATCTGTCTTGTGCAGCAGTAATGGAGTGGTAGGTTGGGAAGTAGGGCACACCTGCGGCCCAAGGTGAGTTTATAGGAATGAATGCCTGTTACTCATCTGTCATTCTTGAATATAAGTGATTAAGATGATAACAAAAGATGAAGTGATGTCATCTCATTGTCATAGTCTAAAACAGCCTGCTTCCATCTGCATTGTTTATTGGGAAAACCTTTTGCACTGGAGCGAGCCTAGCCTAAGATTGGGCAATGTTCTCTTTACATATGGCCCGCCATTCTGATGGGAACTTGGAGAGAGTTCATGTTGGTAATTTTCTTTTTTTGGACAGAACCAGAGTTTGAACTGAGGGCTTTGTTCTTGTTAGGCAAGTGCTCTTCTACTTGAGCCACACCCCCGCCCTGCTTTTGCTTTATTTTTCAGATAGGATCTTACAGCCTGGACCATAAGGGCTGGTGGAGTGACTCAAGCAGTAAGAGTGCCAAACAAACACAAGGCCATGAGTTCAGGCCCCAGTGCTGCCAAAATAAATAAATAAAAATGATCACAGCCTGGACCACCATCCTCTCACCTATATCTCCCACATAGCTAGGATGACAGGCACGTGCCACCATGCCCAACTTTTATTGGTTGAGATAGGGTCTTGTGAACTTTTTCCACCTCCTGAGTAGTTAGAATTACAGGTATGAGCCACTGCACTCGGCCCCTAGTTATGTTTTGAGCATTGTTTTCAGATATCTCCAGCAACCCTACTGTCCAAAGTTAGTCCCTGCTGTTAAGTGACTGAAAGAGAATGAAGTTTGGGAAGACTAGAACAAATATGACTAGGAAGAAGGCTCTGCCCTTTACCTGAGTGTTTGCAGGAGGGAAGCTGTCAAAGGTACCTGGGCCAGAGTAAGGGGAAGGGTAGGCCCCCATTATATGCCAGGCAAGGATGACTGGGACCTCCACTGGATAACAACGCATCATCCTTAGGTGGGTCCAAACAGATAAGGCCCTCCAGCAGTGCCTTGCAGTGCAGGATGTCCTACAGTGGGCGGGCTCATGCAACCTTCATTTGCTGAGTTTTGCCCCTTGCAATGACTCGTGTTGTCTTTGCTGAAATCACTCACATCCTTTTTTTTTTTGGTAGTACTAGGGTTTGAACTCAGGACCTCATGCTTGCTAGGCAGGCACTCTACCACTTGAGGCACTCTTCCAGGTATTTTTAGGATAGGGTCTTGCTTTCATTTTGCTTGGGCTGGCCTCAAACTGATCCTTTTGATCTCTGCCTCCTAAGTAGCTAGGATTATAGGCGTAAGTCACCAGCACCCAGCTTACATATGTTCTTCAACAGTACCCCTGACCTTTGCAACCAAAGTGATTGTCAGTGTCCATTGAACAATGTCAATCCTGAGTCCTCAGCTCTGGAAATGTCAAGTGGTAGTGGAAAGCTAGAAGATGAACTGGTCCATTCCTGTTCCCAGCTTGAACTCTCCTGGCACTACTGCAGCATCCCTTTGTGTTACTTGGCTCTGTTTCTGTCTCTGTTCTCTCTCCCCTAGGAGATGTGTTCATGTGTGTCTACGTGGGAGACAGACAATGGACACAGGGCTTCATTGATCTATAGTTTCTCCACCTGAAGAAGTCTCTTTACAACTTTAAAAACTTGGACGTTGCCTACTTTGGTAGGGAACAAGGGTACGAGAAAAGGTAGGAGGGCCTCCATACCAAAATGAGAAATTCAATTAAAATTAAAATGACTTGGAAGATAATGAAATCACACTTCATGTATCGAACCAAGACACTTGTGTTCACGCACATGTTCTTGGTGGCCACTAGAGGTCACTGTCTCTACTGTGAGTCTGTTCTTGTGCTTCCTGGGCTGGCAGGCTCTGTCCTGTAGGCCCTCAACTCCACCTTCTCTTAGTGAGCCTGTCCTGTGAAGGCATGGCTAGCTAGGGTGTCCTTAGACCAGCTTTAACCCTGGTGACTAGTCCTAGAGTGGAGCATTGTTCAACAAATGGGAGTGGGAGAAGATTATGAAGGTAATAATGGGAATGCTTACCTTTCATTTGTTCGTTCAAGAATGTTTGTCAAATAGCTCCTAAGTCTTGGAGGACATGTCAGAACAAAATAGAAAAGTCTCTGCCCTTGTGGAAGTTATGTACAGGTTGGGAGAGAACATCAATAACATACATAAGGATACATGAAAAGGTGACTGTGGGAAAAACAGAAAGGTGAGGTGCCTGAGGAGAGCTGGATTGTGACCTAAAACAGGGAGGGCCTTGCTGAGAACACAGGAGGAGTGAAGAAGGTGGTCAGATGGGATGTTCTAGGTTCTTCCAGGAGCAGAATGTTCTTATCCGAACAGGGCAATTAGTCTATTGGCTGTTTGGGGGGTCTTCTGCATTTAGGCATCCCTGAGTGGTGGATAAGAAGACAGCCTGCGGCCTCCCACATGGTGTGAAGCCCCAGACTGCCTGGAGTGGCCCCACCAGCCGCTTAGCCCCTCCCCTCCTCACACACCTCTGTGAAGTAGCCTGATGCCTGCCACACACAGTCTCCGAAGATGTGGTTTGGATTGTGGGGACAAGCCAAGTCAGAATGTTGCACTAATCATAACAGGGCAGCAGAGATACCAATGTGATCATAGCTGTTGGGATGTGCCTCTTTCTAAATCACTGCACCGTCCAACTGCTACCTTCTATGTCCAGCTTTGAAGCAAGCTCTGAGTGGCTCTAACTACTCAAATAAGGTCAGCATGGAGTGGAAACTCCACGTTCCCAGCAGAGCACGGTTTTCCTCCGATTTGGGCTCCAGGGAGCGCCAGTCATTGCAAATATGTGGAACCCAAAGCACCACTGGTTCTCAACCCACTGTGCTCAAAAGCAAAGATAAAGCCAACTTGGGTCTGGACTCGGTCCATACAGAATCAGTTTCTGGTGAGTCGGACATGCATTTTCATCCTCCAGAAGGCTCGGGGCGGTCAAAACCTCCCCTTTGTGGAATTGGGACTCTGAATGATGCACCAGTGAAGGGC